GATTTTCGGAGGTCTTCGGCACGTGGCGATCGTGGTCACTGTGCGCGAAGATTTCGGGTAGCAGCACGTGGAAAACGACTGCTGTGCGAGCAGCCAGGCGCATGGTGATTTGCGTCAGAAAACGCAACGTCGCGGAGTGACGGCGTGACGACTGCCCGAAGAAAGCGGGGGTCTACCGTCGTCCAGCCCGGGTGTGGCCGGTGTGGCTATAGGAGGATGCATCGTTGGCGTTTTCGGCAGGAGCGGCACAGTGTGGGACGGAAGTCATTTTCAAACCACCGAAAAGTCCGGAAAAGGCCGCTAGACTGTCAACGTTAGGGTCACTTCTGCGCCTGCAACAACGTCGGCCGAAAATTTCGGAGCAACAGCAGCAGCCGACACTGTACTTCAGGCGGCACAGTTTCCCCCTGATCAAGGGAAGTTGTGTCGCAGACGGGGCAGTACACCGACGAGGACAACGGTTTATCGCAGCGTCTAGACACGCGAATTTCGCCTAGTCTACCGGCTACAATATACGGAGTTGCGACAAATACGGGTCTGGCGAGAGAAACGGATTCCGAGCTTCAGGAGGGGAGAAAACGACCTACTGCGACGACTTTTTGCTGAGGCCGAGTTTTGCGGCTAAGCGGCGGTAGCAGAAGGAGCTCCCTACCGACCAAAATCCACCGACGTTTCGCATACCCCACGCCCAGAAGGCCTCGAAGGCCTCGGCATCACCAATCCAGCAACGGAAGGGGTGTTCGCTTACCTAGCCTCGGTCATCTCCTCCGCCCACCTGCTGCGCTCGTTCGGTGACATTTTGCACCCCGCAATAGACCAGCTGCTGCCGCTACTGGATGCAAACGCCGACTCACCCTCGGTCCTGCCTCGGCGCCTTGCAGCGGCAGAGGCCACGCTGCCCCCGGATGGGCTGGAGGCTCTACAGGCCGGCCAGCGTGGTACAGATGGCCTGAAGCTACAGCAGGCCTTGTCGCTGGCCGTTCACACCGCTCGCTACATCGAGGTGCTCGATGCCTCGCGGGAGATGCCTCTGAACCCGCTCTTCGGCCACACCCAACGCCTGCAATCACTCCTCGGCCCCGGGGCAGGAGATTGGCTGCTGGCCATCCCCCTGACCCCAGCTCTTCGCCTCGGCCCCCCGCAGCACGCCACCGCATCCTCCTTCCGGCTAGGCCTCCCCCTACCTGTCCCTCGTCGTTGCGACTGCCGTCACCGCACAACCTTCCCGGACCACCGCCTCCCCAACCACCTAATGCGTTGCGAGAAAGGCGGCGGGAGAATTGCCACTCACCATGCTCTTCGTGATGAGTGCGCAAGGATTGCGGCGGAGGCGGGCTACACGGTGCACAATGAATCCACAATTTACTCACCGGTCGAAAACCTGAAAGCGGATGTTTGCATCCGCCATCCCGACACCGGCGAGGTCCACATGTGCGACATCACCGTGACGGACCCTGTCTCTCACCAGGACGAATACGCACGTAAGGCACCGGGGTGGGGGGCTAGGATGCAAGCCGCGAAGAAGGAGGACAAGTACGCTCGACGGAACGCGTGGGTAGGCTTCCACGCCATGGCGGTCGAGACATACGGCTACCCCTCCCCGGGAGTACACGACTTCCTCCGCAGCTGTGCCGAGCTCGCGGGCAAGCGGCGGTTCAACGCAGCGCCAAAATCGAGGGAGGTGGCCAGGCTGCTCACGGAATACCGGCAGCGCTGGAGCGTCACACTCCAGCGCGCCCAGGCCAATGCCCTCCGCGACAAGACCCACGAGGCCTTCGCCGCGGACGAGCTCGGCCTGCAGGGACCGTTTGGCTGCCTAGGGGAGGAGCAGCTGTACCAACTGCTGGAAGACCCTACCGGCCAATAGGGTCGTGGGGAGAAGGGGCAGGCGATGGAGAAGTTGTAGTACTTACCTGTTTGTTGCTTGTTGAGTCTTGTTTGTTTAGATTAGCTTACGCTTAGTACCTCTGTGTGTTCTGCCTTGCTGATTAATACGAAGGACCATGAGAGAGAGAGAGAGAGAGAGAGAGAGAGAGAGAGAGAGAGAGAGAGAGAGAGAGAGAGAGAGAGAGAGAGGATCAACGGGACAACTTATAAGGGGGAGCATACGCAGGGGTACACGCAAGGGAGAAGCCCTACGGCAAAGAGCGACAGAGATGCAATTCTACAAGAGGCGGAGGCCTACATCGTGTACGGCTCCGCCCCCTCTACCTCGAGCATGGAGCGCATGCACGCCGAAAGTGACAGAAGGAGGTGCGCCGACGACCGAAGCGTGTCCGCCGGAGTCCCGACTCGAGCAACCCCTACAAGATCCCCCACGTGGCGGGGGAAAGTACGGGCTAAGGGCGCTACCCCGGCGGGCGCTTCCGACACGGGTGCCAACGGCGACTCGAGCGATTCTGCCAAAGACACGCAGGATCCTCGGGATCCTGGACCGTAACTGCTCGGAAAGCTCCGCGTGGCCCCACACACCGCCAGCTGCAGATTCGCCACCACCTCGCACGCCTCCACCAAATTCAGAAGACGACACATGGTCAGCATGGGGTCTCTCCCCGCGGGAATGGGGGGAGGTGCAGTCGGTGCTTCGCGCGGAAACACCGTCGGCCAGCCAGGAGTCCGGCCAACAGAGAAGCGCGGCACGGAGAAGCCCTGGACTGGACGGGGGGCGCGAAACGGAGCCCGCCCCTCCCGCGCAGGCAGATACTCGCGCAGCGTCGGCGCGCGTAGAGGAGCCGCCTGGGCACAACTCGGGTCGAGGGGAGGGCCGTTGGTCACCGCGATGTGTACGTGCGTGTCCTCCCCACTTGCCCGCGCCTGCCGCACCACTTGCGCGAACGCATTCGCGGCTTGATCAAGGGCTGGATCCAGCCCGCGCCCACTACCACCGCGCCCACCGCCATTCCGCCGACCACGTCGACCGCCAGAACCAGCCGAGCGCGGACGCGGAGGGGGACTGCTCGCGGCGACCCGATTCCCAGCGACGCCCAGGCGACCCCCTCCCCCGCGTCGCCGGAGATCGCCGCGGAGACCGTTGCGCGGGGGATCGCGCTCGGGGTGAGCGCTGGCCTGCCCGACCACGACGCTCAGGAGATCGGCAGCGGGGAGAGCCATCTGGGGAAATCCTACGGCGAGATCTACGGCATCGATGCGGGCTAGGTTCCGTGAAATTCGGTCCCGGTAGACCCATGACTCTGGGTTCCGCACGTAAAAGCACCTCCATGTTGGTGGGTTGCTAGTGTGGTTAACCATGGAGAGAAAAATGGCGACGGGTGGGTACGCTAGATACACCAGTTTCTTCAAGGGGACAACCTGCAGACGACCAAGATTTTACGGGGTGTGTTAATTTCCGACATTTACGGGTGCAACGAGCAGCTCCGAGAAGAGTTTTAACGGAGTCAGCGGGGTCGCTGACAATATCCGTGCCGACGGCCGACTCCGGCGTCGCTTGATTAAGCGCGCGAAGGCACTCGTCGTCAAATTTGTAGCCGTACATTCGGAGTCTGTTCGGGGGTACCAACCGCAACACAGATGAAAATTATCGCAACAGGTGGGAGAGGGGGAAGGAGAGTTTTTCGCCTCTGCCCCGAAGTTTTCGGCGAATCACGACAACATCGACAATGCAGCTGACGTCATCAGCAGTTCGAGTTCAACTTTAAAAAAATATTGCAGGCGGTCAGGGGGAAGTGCAGCAGCCATTTTCGCCCCTGCCCGGTAGCTTTCGAAGCAACGCGACAAGTGCCTCGGCGAGTCTGGACAAGACTGCCGGGGGCACCGACAGCTGGAGCAGCGTCAGCGAGGATTTCGCCACAGCAACGTGACAGCAAACAGCAGCAATTTCGGATTGCATCAGCTGACAGCTGGAGATTCGGCAGCAGTCAATTGATTCGATACTGCCACGCGGGATCTGGGGTGGCAGTCGCTGGAAATGCTGCAGCGGCAGTCGCGCCTACACGACAAGAAGAATGTGTTCTGCAGGACAATATATTTTCCAAGGGTTTCGAGTCCCGGTGCTCAACGCCTATACCCTCTAAAAGGGACTTCGCGGGTTTCCCTGAAGAGTTCTACCAGGTCACGACAAAGAATTTCGCCACCAGCTACTTTTCGACAGAGCAGCTGCTAAAACTTCGACGGGGTTCATAACACTTGGTATTTCGGATTACCCCCCGGCAGATGGGATTTCTGGAGTTTCTGCCCGCGCAGCTGTCCTACAACAACGGTCTACCCTTTTCTTCAAAGGGGGGAGGGAGAGTGATTCTCGCTTTGTGCTTGTCAGTTTTCTGACAGCTTCGTCTGACAATTCGGCACGACGGACGCTTGCGATGGCTTCATCGGCATCGACGACTCCCGATTTACTGACATCTGACAGCGTGTCAGAACTTTCGCCAGCGTCACCACCGCACGATTTACATCGACGGCTTTCCTTCTTCGAAAGATTTCAACTCGTCATTCGCTTTCAACCGCCCGATCGACATCGGCAGTATCAACGGCTGACATCCAACCTCTTGAAAGTCGCCTGGTCAACGCGCTCAGCCACGCGTCAACTCAAAAGTCAACAACGCTTCCGCACCGTCAGATCAGTCTTCGACCGAGATCTGCAGTTTTCATGCTACTGCCAGACTCGCCTACGTATAAGGCGCCTTCTTTAGAAGGTGGGAGAGTGTAATGAATTAGAATTCATTACTGTAGAGACTGTCCTTAGCGAGGACAGCCCGAACTGTTCGCGTCAGTTTGGGCTCGGCCTACACTTTCGCACCGAACCAGCCCCGAGTCGCCCCGCACCAATTGCGACATTCCCGAGCCACGCACATCGAGGTCCTCGCCTAGCACGGTTTCGACCCTATAAATGCTCGCTTCATTATCATTCTCGACATTCTGTAATTCTCATCCTTTTTATAAAGTCTTCCGCGCACTCTTCTTAGTACAACTCATAACAATGTTCGTGCTGTGGTAACCACCAGGGGACTGAGAAGTATGTGCGAATGAGCAAATACTGTACTCAAATGCATCGCGATTCCCTGAGATGGGAATGGAGCACCGCGACAATACTGTAGGGGCTATAAAAGAAATCCTACCATTCTATTTACCTTCTCATTTCAATTTGTATACATTATATGGCCCTACCTTTCGAATATAATGATACATTTTCCACTACCACCAGGTACGAGGAGGATGTGTATGTCAACAACCACACGTCTGTGTGGGGGTCCTACTGGAAGGACGGACAGTGGGGCTACGCCTGCTGCCACCAGATGCTGCGCCTGAGCTATTGCACGGGCTCGGCAGGCATCCAAGCCGCAGAGGTAGCTGCGGAGGCCACCAAAGCTGCTGGATCGGCAGGAGCTCTGGGTGATGGTAGGAGGGGCGAAGGTCTGAAAGAAGGTCGTGAGGATGCAGGTGGTGGAAGCAGTCAAAAGGCGGCAGTTGCTGGGGGCGGGGTGGCGTTGCCGTGGGGAAGTGCGGGAGGGGAGGACATGGATCCATCGACACTGGACCCGGAAAAGCTTAAGCAGGCGGCTAAGAAGGTATGTGCCCCTGTTGACATGCGCATGGTCCCCAGTGATTTGCTGCAATTATCGACGTTATTCCCCAAGCAGCACCTCTGATCCACCTGGCTTTATTGTCATTTTTGCAGCTTCATTGTTCGTGTTTGCCATGCTTTTTTGCACCATCCCCTCTCTCCTGTATGTGTTTAGCCCATTCCACTCAATAGCATGTGCTGAAGGGCCCTGACCCCTGCCATATAAGAAGGTGACTGAGTTGCAATGTATGTTCCTTCTTCGTTTCATATGTACCATCTGCTTCTCCCTCTTCCCCACATCAATGCGTGTGAGTAACCTGGACCAAATTACAAAAGTACCATGTATACATACACTCATAAATTTATACTCTCATATTGCTCATACGGCTCGTATTGCTCTTACCCCCTTTCCCCATATGCATGACAGATGGAGTTGCGTGCAATGGAGGCGAAGGATGAGAGGAAGAGAAAGTACAATGTGCGGCATGACGACGAGGTATGTGTCTTGCTGATGTACGGCATGACTACGAGGTATGTGTCTTGCTGATGTGTGGTATGACAATTGGGTATGTGCGTACAAAATGTGTCATGACAATGCCGTGCATTATGATCATGTGTTAGCTTGCAGGAGGATGGGATGTATGGGAATATGTGTTCATCCTGATGATGCAGTATGTTGAATGCTGATCATGATGCTCAGCGCCGCCCTAGTCTTACATGTCTGCTTTTTGTCTTATTCCAAATTTCACATGTTGGCGTTGGCAGGTCACAGCTGAGGATATGGAGGTATATCGGCTCAAAAGAGTTCACTATGATGATCCCATGAAAGATTATGCTGACAAGGAATGATGCGTCTACCCAGGCCCTGTATTTAAAACATTGGCGAAATGATGTGCTACTAGAAATCATGTTTGAATAAAGCGGTTGTTGTAACGTACCTATGGCAGTTCAACGAATATTTACATGAACACAACCATGAAGAGTACTACCACTCCAAGCACAGTCGGAGCATTGGTAATGGGTGATGGGCATTGCACCACACAAATGTTGGGGGGAAAGGAAACACTTTTAAAGTTATGTACATGAATTTCCTTCGAATACCCTCCGACCCCAAATATATTTTTTTCAATAGCTAAGCTCCCCAATCTTTTTAATTTCCGTGTCGAGGCTTGAGACACCGGCGACAACATCCTTCATCTCCTGCACCTGCGCATCCACCTTGGCAGCAGCACACTGCACCTCTTTCCCCGCCACCTCCTCGCGAATGGCCTGCAGCTCGTTGGCAATCTGCAGCATGCTTGGGCGGTCGGCAGTGCGCTCCCCCGTGCAGGCGAGGGCGATGTGCGCCACACGCATGACAGCATCCGCAGGGGCGTCCATGGTGGCGTCCACGAGGCTCCCCACGTCATTGGCGGACACACACTCCGCTGCCTGAATGCGTTGAGAAGATAACGGGGTGGAGGCGATAGATGGGTGGAGGGGATAGAGGGGTGGAGGGGATAGAGGGGTGGAGGCGATAGATGGGTGGAGAGGATAGAGGGGTGGAGGGGATAGAGGGGTGGAGGGGATAGAGGGGTGGAGGGGATAGATGGGTGGAGGCGATAGATGGGTGGAGAGGATAGAGGGGTGGAGGGGGATAGAGGGGTGGAGGCGATAGATGGGTGGAGGGGATAGAGGGGTGGAGGGGATAGAGGGGTGGAGGGGATAGATGGGTGGAGGGGATAGAGGGGTGGAGGGGATAGAGGGGTGGAGGCGATAGATGGGTGGAGAGGATAGAGGGGTGGAGGGGATGGTGGGGTTGGAGAGGGTGGAGGGTTCGGGGGGTGTCGAGGGAGTGTTGAAGGTGGAGGAGGTGGAGGGGTTGGGAGGGGTCGCATATGGTATTCAAGAAGTTGGCCAGACTTTGGAAAAGATGCTATATGAATTGTTCCGGCAAGTGGTGCTCACCCTCTGAGTGATCTGCCGGCCCTGTGAGGAGCACTAATAAGAACAGGACGAGGAAAGGGGGGAAGTACCATTACCACACATTGGGTAGTGGAGGGAGGTGGTCCCGTACTGCTATTGAGAGGATGGTTCGATATGGTCCCACTGAATACGAAAAAAGCATTACGGCATCAATAAAATGGTACTTACCACGTGGTGATCTCATGGGTAAGGTACTTACATACGAGGTGGTCACATCACATGGGTTGAGGTACTTACATACGAGGTGGTCACATGGGTTGAGGTACTTACATACGAGGTGGTCACATGGGTTGAGGTACTTACATACGAGGTGGTCACATGGGTTAGGTGCTTACCCACGGAGTGATCTTCCGACTCTCTCCAGCAGTTTCTGAGATTGGCGGCCGTCCCGTGAGGACCACCAGCATGAGCACTCCAAAGCTGAAAGAAAGTAGGCATGTTCAAAGGCACAGAATATTGAAGGCACAGGACGGCAGAGGACCGGGCGAGAGGCACAGGTGCTTCAGATGAGTTTCATTACACAAATGCACTTCAGATGAGACCGCAGCATGCACATGCCGAAATATCATACACATAGAATCTGGGGCGGGCCCTATTCCTACAATGCATTTCCAGCTTTTCCTTTATCACATCTCTACTACACACTTCCAGCAACAACTATTGTATGCATCACTGCCTCACCTGTAGGCATCACTGCCTCACCTGTACGCATCACTGCCTCACCTGTAGACATCACTAGCAGTGGTGGCCTTGCACGTGATGGAGTAGACCGGGTCCACATAGCCCGGCGTGCCCATGATGCGTGTCGTGCCCACGTTTGTGCCCTCCCCCATCCTCAGCAGACCAAAGTCCGCAATCTTCGCCTGGTGACTCAGATCAGATGTGCGGCATTGTAGCATGATGAATTTCATTGAAATGCACAGTTGGTCGCTTATGGTGCCATCCCAACAGAGCATGGATTGTAAGAAGAGAACGGTGAGGTTGAATCATTTGTTCCTGTAAAAAACGAGATATAGAATATTCCAGCCAGAGTTGGTGTAGTGTTGTACCAACAACCCCCTGTCCAGGATCGAATGCGTGGCTTGACCAATATATACATATATAGAAGTATGTATATATATATATATATATTTGTTTTAGATTTCGCCTCCACTAAACAAAAATTATTCTGTCACCAAAGATCCAGTGCAGGCAGCTTGCCTGCATGTTATGGGTGATGAGGACGTTGTCAGGCTTGATGTCGCGATGCACGATGCCTATGTGACGGAAGACGCAAGACGCGTCTTGCGTCTAGCGTCTAGACGCATCGTCTAGACGCTAGACGCTAGACGCGCGTTTAGACGCTAGACGCTTGGGGGAAAATTTTTCGGGCAGCCCGGAAAAAAAAATTCCGCGGGCGAAATTGAATTTCGCGATTTTGATGCGAAATTCAATTTCGCGTCATTTGCCCCCCCCCCCCCCCCCACCCATTTCGACCTTAGATTCAAGCCCCCCAGGCAAAATTGAAATTTCCTCAACCAAAATTGAAAACACAAACCCCTCTCAACCGCAAAGCATCTAGGAAACCCAACCCTTAATGGCAAACCAGCAAGGGCTTGGGAAGCACAAATCCCCCATTTGTGCTTCCCATCTTTCATTTCTAGCCAATTCTCTTTCAAAAACCCTCTAGGGTTTAGAGCTACTTACCTCTTGAAGCCATGTCTTCTCCTAGTTCTTCTAGTTCCGTCTCCTCCTCGCATGACGATGCCGTGGGGAAGGCAAGTTCCGCGCATGTTTCCAAGGAGGGTAGTTCCGCGCATGGTAAATGATGATTTTTGTGAACTCTAATTAAGGGGAAAAAGTTTTGGTATGGCGGAAATTTGACCCAAATGTGCTATATATGCATGTACCCCACCCTCCCCATGGTCCTTAGAAGTTTTTTTAGGCTGCCCGAACTTTTTTTTAGGGCCTGCCCGGGTTTCCGTCTAATCTGCGTCTAATCTAGGCGAAAATGCGTCTAGCGTCTTAGACGCTGCGTCTAGACGCAACGGTCTAAGACGCTAGACGCATCTTCCGTCACATAGCACGATGCCAAAGCTGTGCAGATACTCGAAGCCCCGTGCCAAGCCTATGAGAATGTCCAGGCGCTCCTTCAGAGCCAGAGGGCGCTCTGCCTCTGCGAGGAATGGGCAGCAGAGCATGAGAGGCAGAGCATGAGGGGCAGAGCATGGGAGGCAGAGCATGAGGGGCAGAGCATGAGGGGCAGAGCATGAGGGGCAGAGCATGAGGGGCAGAGCATGAGGGGCAGGGGATGGGTGGCAGGGGAAGGGTGGCGGGGGATGGGTGGCAAGGGAAGGGTGGCGGGGGATGGGTGGCAGAGCATGAATGGGAGAGGATGAGTGGCGAAGCATGGGTGGCGCAGCATGAGTGGCGCAGCATGAGTGGCGAAGCAGAAAACGGACTGGAGGAGCAGCACACGAACTTGGACCGATCCATTTGTGGAGGTCGCCATTGGGCACGTATTCATAGATGAGCACTTGCTCTGGCCGCGTCCTCAAGTCCCCGCCAATCGCAAAGCCAAGAAGCGTCACAATGTTGGGATGGTTCTTGTCGGCCATCTGCTGGATCTGATCCACACAGGCAGGGGAAAAGAAAAAGAACGAAGCGGGGATGAAGGAACAGATTGAGAAGGAGGGAACACAACAAACAGTCAAGGCATGACAATCCAAAGCAGAGAAAAAGAGAGGAATGCCTTAAATTACCATCATTGAAAATACAATATAGAAATAGACTGAAAAGCAAAAGACACTAAGGCAATGAAGCATTTTGAAACGCTAAAAAATGTCGTGACATCTTATCACTTGTCACCATGGTGCAACAAGGCTCACTGACAATAGATTCCATGGCAATGAAGTATTGCTATTTGCACATCTGCAGCTCACTCACCTCGTTCTGGAAGTCCACGTCGATCAGCCTGGCGCGCTTCACAGCCCACACGGCGCCATCACGGGGAGACACGCCCTTGTACACATCGCCAAAGGCACCCGAGCCCAGCTGGTTGGTGGGGGACCAGTCATTGGTGGCGGTGAGGACCTCCTCTATTGAGAACTCCGTGCAGTGCAACGCCGCCAGGCTGCTGCTTGGGCCTGCTCATGGTGTCAACAGCGAAAGTAGGTGCAAGGGTCAAGGTGCACATGCCTTAGCACGAGTTGACTCGGATTGGTCTGAGCCAGGTCGGGCTGGGTAGAGTCGAGTCTAGAACGAGTTGAGTCAAGGCAGTGCGAGGCTGCCAGACTGGTCCGCGAGCCATCTCGTGGTGTCATATGTGAAAGGAGGTGCATGGGTGCAGGGCAAAATGCCTGAGCACGAGTTGAGTGGAGTCGAGTCAGGTCGAGTGCACTCGACCTCAGTTGAATCATGTGCCGAGTCGAGTCTCCTGACTTTGGGATTGATTCGCGGCGTGTCAGTCAGTTCACAGGAGATTCTACAGAAGTGGGCTCTGAGAGCCCCTACGAATCTTCACAGTTCCAAAACCTGAAATCAATTATAATACCATTTATTGCCTCAACACCTTGATGCACTTAAGCTGCATCCACAAGTCATGGAGGCATATGGGCTTGTAAGCTTGGGACTGAAGTAAGTGCGTGCGTCGAGTCACGACTTGGGGAGTCTAGCTCACTCATTTCAAGGCAAGAGGTTTGAATACTCAATTTCAGCTTCAATTTGTACGGTCGAGCATGAGAGACTTGCAGACTTGCCAGCACATCTGACTTCATGCAGTGCAAACATCCACACACATCAACACAGTTTGTTTATTCAGAATGAACTCTTCTGGTTTCTTTGTCACTCTACCTTGTGGTTTCAACTTAATCTTGTGTCTGAAGTAAAGCAGAGTGGCGCCCAGAAGGAGGAGAAGGACCACAGCGCCAACAACAATGCCAATGATGGCGCCCACTGACACTCCACCTGCTGAAACATGCTCGCAGTGGGGATTGCAGGAAGCTGTTCATCAACAGAGTTGTCAAAAGATTGCAAAAGAACGACCAGAGGGGTGATGCTCCGCTTGCAATGGAAGAACAATAGAACCCATATTGGTGGTATTTTTGCATGACTGTAGTAAGAGACAACCATACCATGTTTCAAAGCACCCGCCTAATTGTTCAAAATGAGGTGCTTTCGAAATAATCAGCCATGCATTGTGCCATGCATCGCCATGTTTTGTGCCATGCCTTGTCCCATGCATTGCCATGCCTTGTCCCATGCATTGCCATGCCTTGTGCCATGCATTGCCATGTCTTGTGCCATGCATTGCCATGCCTTGTGCCATGCATTGCCATGCCTTGTCCCATGCATTGCCATGCCTTGTCCCATGCATTGCCATGCCTTGTCCCATGCATTGCCATGCCTTGTGCTATGCATTGCCATGTCTTGTCCCATGCACCGCCATGCCTTGTGCTATGCATTGCCATATCTTGTCCCATCCATTGCCATGTCTTGTCCCATGCACTGCCATGCCTTGTGCTATGCACTGACATGTCTTGTGTGCCACGCATTGCTTGCTGTACACTCTGGACTCCGAAATGCCTTCCGCCATGCGTCGCGTTTCAACTTTGAAACCATACTCTGCCAATGTTTTTTCACTTGCCTGCAGATTGGCTGCAAGTCTTGCAGAAGGATCCACACGTGCCACAAAAGGATGTGTTGGGAGATTGCGGTGTGGCACAGGCAGAGTGGTCAGGTGGGCAAACGAGGCTGGTGCCAGAGATGTCACTGCAGCGGGAATGGGAGATGACAAGGTGGAATCTATGGGCACAGCTGCACATACATTTCTTCGAAAGCTGCAACAGAAGTCTTTGCTAGTCCTGCAAGAGTGCCCTGTCAGGGCCAACCATGTCCATTACAGCATGAGATGAGCATTCTCACACTCGTTACAAGTTTGTTACGGGTTCGGTACTTGCTCAAGCCCACATTCAATCTCGTTTCAGGTTTGGTACTTGGTCAGACATGTTAATAAGTTCGGTTCGGTTTGGTACTTGCTCAAGCCTACTTACAAGTTCCAAGTTCGGTTCAGGTCTGAAACTTGCTCAAACCTACCTACAACAAGTTCATTTCAAGTTAGCTACTTGCTCAAGCCTCCTTACAGCTCCAGCCTATTACAAGTTCGCTCCGGGTGTGGCACTTGCTCAAGCCTACTTACAAGTACTGTAATGAGGTGAGGCCTCCAATTTCAGGTGGAATCTGCCCCCTGAGATTAGTAGCAGAGAGGTTTCTGCTCACAGCGGGTGGATGGGAAGTGTGGGAGTGACCTTGGTAAATGGGAAGTGTGGGGGTAATCCTGGTTAGCCTCATGCATGCAGCATTGCAGAGCCGTGCATTCATCTGCATGAAGCAACGCAGCAACGCGAGATAGAACCATTTATGGAAGGATCGTGCAACGGGACTGGGAAACACCTGTTGAGAAAAGATGCATGGCGTCGAGCAACCACTGAATGCTTTGGAACAGCAATTGGGGTGTGGAGAGGCCACACACACAGCGTGAATGGAAGCGGGTTGATAGATCTGGCTTGTAGTAATCAATTGGTCATGCTACCAGAATTCTTTAAAACAAGCGTGTGAGAGCCAAACAACGACGACGTACAGATAGGTGAGGCGCTCAAGGACGACAAGGTCGCTCAACATGCTGCCACTGAGGGAGTTGGATGAGAGATCCCTGTGCATTGTGTGTTGTGGGTTGGAGAAGAAGAGATGAGAATGGCGGGCATGGCGGCCCAGGGGGGTTTGATGCGTGGAGATCCCATCAGGTGGAGAGCTCTGGAGGGAGCACGGAGGAGAACGAGCAGCCTTCACTGAAAGCAGGGCGGGTGGGGGGTGGACGGGAATGTAAGCAGTTGGGGGAAGGTGGGTTTATGGTGGAACACGAGGGAACGCATAAGAAAAGGAAATGGGATGGTCTTTGGGAGAAGAATGGAAACCTGGGCACACGGATGGGCGCACAACACAACACATGAGCAATGCGAGGGGGAAATGAAGAACAAAATGATGTGGGACAGAATTCCACTCCACAAAACTCCTGCAAGTCTGTAAGCTTTCCAATTCAATTAGGAGTAAGCCATTTAATCAGATTATCCCCCAGGGTTCTGGTCCAAGAATATGGAGGCTACTCCAGGTCAACGCACGGCAAGTCGTGAGTTTTGAGATTGTACAATTGCACAAACACGCAAGGAAGTGATATCAACAAAGTACATAGTCATAGTTCGCCCACTCAGAAGTTCAGTCCTCAAGGTACTGTCAAGAAGCAGCCAATGGTAGCAGGGATAGGTCAGTAGTGAAAGCATAATACTTACAGGGTGACCAGGTTGATCAAGGAGCTCAGAGACGATGGCAGAGACCCATCCAGGCGATTGCCATGTATGTCCCTGATAGAGCATGCAGAACAGCCGATGCAAAATGAAGGAGAGGGAGGATGACGAGGGAGAAAGGGCAAGGCGACAGTAATGCTGGCTGGTCAATGAACTTCACTTCAAGTCTATAACTGAAGCAATCATCGCAGCGAACATGGCATTTATGGCCCGCGATGCAAGCAGCCCTTCAAACCCAGACAGTATGAACAGACTTCTGACTGGTGCGCCCCAAATTTCACTCGAACGCGTTCTAAAAAGGGAACTCTAGGACATGTGCCTAGGAATTTTCCCCCGATCTTAGACTTGATCTGATCTACCATTAACTACCCATCACCTACCTACCACCACACTAAGGAACTGTGTTGATTGAATTTAGGGTTAATAAGGGTTATTAAATGTTAACCGAAAACACTGTAGCTCGTTTCCTGACATGGTCGCTTTCTCGTTCTTAGTTAAAGGGTGAAACCGCCAGCGTTTAAGGTTTCTTGACTGGTGGAGTAGGTGTGAATGCAATGACTTTGCGTTTGCAGCATTTAAACTCTGGGAGCGCTTTGAATCACAGGAAATCGAACTACTTCATGGTGCATGACTGCAATCCATCAGCATTGATTCGGCACCAACCCCAACCAACCAACTGAAAGTAGGATCCTCTTGAGAGTGGTGATTGGGAGGTTTCGGGGACTGATGAATGTGGTCAGCATGAGCCTATTCTAAACTCATAGCTATTCTACCTCATGACGAGCCTACTTGGATCGGACAATCCACGAACCAATGGTCGGCTATTGCTCGACCCAAAAGCCTCAGCCCAGCCCGGCCAAAAGTGCAGGCTGGACGAGGCCGGCCTGCGGTACTAGCTTTGCTCATCCGTAGCCTAGGAGGGGAGGACAGGAGAAGAAGCAGGAAAATTAGCCTGGATTGGCTGCAGGCTGTGTCTCAAAAGGTCTTAAAGTTGATGTGACTGTTGCTCACGTTCGTGCTCATCACCAGACTCAAAGGAGGTGCATCATACAGATAAGTGAGCCAAGAAAGCATGGAGATGCCATTGGGAATGGGACCCGTCAGAATGTTGTTTGCAAGAGAGCTGTGTGTGCATGGTGTGGGTTGGGGTAGACGAAGAGAGGATGAGAATAGAGGGCATGGAATGAGGGACAGCAAGCACATGTGTTCAACCCAATTGGGGAATGAGGAGAGCAGGGTGGGAGACAGGCATGAGTAACGATTGTATAGCACTTGAATTGAATCAATTCACGTTACTCGAATTGACCAAATCAGTTCGAATAACACACTCCGGAGTGCATTGACTGGCGTCTAACATGTTCCTGGAATCAAGGTGCAAAAGAAGTTCTTTAAAATTGTAGGCCTGTAGATTCTTGAACTTGTATAGAATAGGTAGGTCTGCCTAGGGAGTGATTGTGGGGTTTCAGGGGTTGATGAATGTGGCAGCACGACCCTATTCTTGACTCATGGCCACCCTCGCTCATGACAGGTCTACCAGACTCTAGATAAGCCTACTAGGCTCGGACAAGCCAGAAGCCCACGTGGCAAGAATGCAGGTTTGTGACAGCCAATGGTCGGCTATTGCTCGACCCGAAAGCCTCAGCCCAGCCCGGCTTGAATGCAGGCTGGACGAGGCCGGCCTGCGGTACTAGCTTTGCTCATCCCTAGCCTAGGAGTGAAGTTCATGAGAAGGAGATGCAAGAAATTCAGCCTGGTTTGGCTGTTGGTGATGTTCGTGCTTTTCACCAGGTTCAAACGAGGTGCATCATACAGATGAGTGAGTTGAGCAAGCATGGAGATGCCATTAGGAATGGGACCCGTCAGAATGTTGTTCGAAAGAGACCTGCGTGTGCGTGATGTGGGTTGGGGTAGAAGACATGAGGAGATGAGATTAGAGGGCATGAAATGAGGGAAAGCAAGCACACACGTTCAACTCAATAGGAAGAACAGGAGAGAGCATGGTGGGAGACAAGCATGAGTAAAGTTCGAATCGCCCTTGAATCAACTCAATCGCGACTCAAAGTGACCAATTCGGTTCGAATAACACACTGCAGAGTGCATCGATTGGTGTCTAACATGGGCCTGGAATTAAGGTGCATTTTTTTCTATTTTTGTAACAATATATTGTCACAAAATACTCGAATCTCGAGTAGGACTCCCTTAAGCAAGACACATTTCCATGCGTGGCGGCAAAATGGCAAGCAGGTAGAGGCCCTTCTGTGGGTGGTCAAAGTGGAGGCAAAACTCGAACCGGCAGGACCCGGATCGTTTTAACCTCAACCCGACCCGCGAACAGCCCAGGCTTCGCAGGCTGGATCCGGGCCTGGGACGTCCAGGGTCAGCCCGAGCAGGACCGAACCTGGTTCGGCCCGTATCCATCCCTAGTTGGGTTGAAGTGTTTGATGTGACATGCACAAGCCGGTCTTCCCTGGCCGGTCCAGAGATTGGCCTGGCCATGCCAGGCTTACCACAGAACGGGAGGGTCATGTCAGAATATTATCTTGACATGCTATCAGAGCAGGTCGATCCCTTTGGATCGATCCTGTGGGTGGGCTCACCACCTCGTTGCTTCCGCTGCAACTTCCGCTGCTACTCTATGTGCCGCACGCCCCGTGGCGTGCGGCAGTTTTTTCTTCCCGCCGTGCGCCCCGAGGCGCGCGGCGGTTTTCTGCCCGCCGTGCGCCCCGTGGCGCGCGGCGGTTCTCTGCCCGCTGTGCGCCCCGAGGCGCGCGGCGGGCTTCTGCCCCGTCACTCGACGCGTCGCCCCCGGGAGGCGTTGCGACGGGCGACGGGGACCCGCGCGTCGCCCCCCGTCGCCTGTTGTGGCCTGCGCGCGGCCCGTACAGCCGGCGTGCGGCCCGTACGGGCTGCGCCAGGCCTGCGCGCGGCCCGTACGGGCTGCGCCAGGCCCGCGCGCGGCCCGTACGGGAAGCGCCAGGCCCGCGCGCGGCTCGGGCCGCCTGCGCGCGGTTCGGGCGGCTATACCAGGCCCGTGGGCGGCCCGTTCCTCGCTGCTCCTGCCCTCTCCACTGTCCCCCGTGCTTCTACCGGCGCCCCACCCCTCCTACAGCCCGTTCTCCTGAATTAGGGTTTGGGGGTGAAGAGTGTGGGGGTGGCGGCTATGGGGGTGTCGGTTGTGAGTTCCTCCCCCTGCTCCTCCTCCTCCCTCGTCTCCCTCTGCTACAGCTGCCGCTGAGGGGGGTGGTGTGTGGGAGCCTAGGGTTTGGGGTTTAAGGGGGGTACCGTCGGAGTGGAGCTAGGGTTTGAAGCAGGGGGTGTGTGTCGAGGGGTGTGGGACAGTTGGAGGAGGTTGAGCGGAGGCCGCCGTCGTGTCGTCCGCAGCGCCTGTATTCCGGGGTTCGATTAGCCACCGGTAGCTCAGAGAGCCGGTTGCGCCGTCGCCTGTGGGTCCGTTGCTCCTGCCGCGCATATTAGCCGCGGAGCCTGTTACTCCTGTACTCCGGGGCACTCATTCCCGGTAGCCACGTTGTCGCACCAGAGCCGTCTGTTGCCCGTGTGTCTGCAGCTTCAGTCGTCGCCTCCTATCTACTCTCCTCTCGCCAGCCCTCCTCCTCCTCACTTGCCCCCCTGTGACTGCCTCTAGCTTTGCTCATAATTTGAACCTTTAAACTATTGCTTCTTGAACTTGTGCTCAGAATGTGTGGTGACATTGTGATCCACCCTGAGCTTGTACTGCTTTGTTTGCTCTGCTGATTACACCCCACTTTGGCTATGGGGGTGTGTCAGAATATTATGCTCTAGCCTGTAGTGGGGTGCTCTATAGCGAGTACAACCCTTCTAGGGTTTGCTATTTGTACCCCCATTCTTGCTAGTTCATTCCCCCCTCTCTTTTGCCTATTATCTTAACAGGTCATGCATGCCTGGGCTACTACTGCCCACCAGGACGGGCCAGGCTACACTAGCATGAGCAGCGGGGTGGTCCCGACCCAGGCCGACCTTGGGGTGTCATCACGACGAGTCGGGTCTGGTCGAACCAGTTCGGTTTTGTACTCTTGGTTTGAGCTCAATTGGTCATGAAGGTGGATGTAAGGAGAAAGGCATGGGGATGGTGGCTAGGAGCGGTATGGAGACATTGGCAGCACACCGCAAAAACCTGCAAAGCACTGCTACCCTGCTCTATTTGGTCCAACCATGTGCTTTCATTGCAGCATCAGATCAGCCTATCTCACACTGCTTACAAGTTTGTCCACAAGCGTACTTACACAAGCGTACTCACAAGAACTCCAATGAAGTTCGGTCTTGAATACTAGCTGGAATGTACCCACTGAGATTATTGGCAGCGAAATTTCTGGTCACAGGGGAGGAAAGCACGGTAGTAAGCCCTGTTAGCCTTGTGCGTGCCGCAACAAAGCGCCGTGCATCGACCAATCCACATGACAAAATGCACCCATCTGTTCAGCGCTGCATGCATTCAGATGGAGGAGCCCGGCAGTCCCATGGCATGCAACCATCCAGCGAGACTATAGATGGGGACACAATAGTACAGATGGCAGGATGGTACAACAGGATTGGAAAAAAAAACAAGAGGCAATGTAGATGCACGGCTTTGAAATGGGAACTGCGGTGACAAGCCTGTGTTACGGGCTGAGTTGCAGCACTGGGAAAGTAACGTGCTGGTACAAGAGGACTGGAAAATGACTCAAGAGCTACATACACACATGTTATGGAAGTGAGTTGATGGAGGGCGCAGTGCAGGCTTGGCACACGAGAGCGTGGTGCAGCGCTGACTTGGCACATCAAAGATGGGTGTAGAGAGCTTCTTACAGATATTCAATGCGATTACGGGAATCAAAGTCGCAGACCACTGGGCCACTGAGGGAATTGGATGAGAGATTCCTGTGCATTGTGTGTTGTGGGTTGGAGAAAAAGAAGAGATGAGAATAGCGGGCATGGCGGCCCAAGGGGGTGTGCTGAGTCTATATTCCAACAGGTGGGGAGCTCTGTTGGGGGCACGGGAGGGAGCGATAGCATTCACTGGAAGGGTGGAGGGGGTTGGAGGAAAATGTAAGCTGGAAGGTAGGAAATTAGCATGACCAGAAATTCAAGCCGGGGGCTCGGCTCGTCCAAATGATGAGCCGAGCCGGCGTTTTCAGAACTCTGGCTTGTCGGCTCGGCACTGAATCTCCAACGAGGAGGGAACAGGCCCGACGAGCCCCCTCCAGCCTCGTCAAATCATACTCAGCGATATGTCCGATGCGAGTATATTGCGACTCTAAAAAGGGGGACGGATTTTTTTTTTTTTTTTCAAGTTCCGCCAACTACCTTTCTCTCTTGAGTCTGCGTCCTTCACTGCTAGGCATGAAAAATGGCGTACACAAACATGTTGGTGTTCGCCTTGCCTCGAAGACATTTTCTCGGCGAACAGAAGATGTTCGTGTTCGCCCGAACATTTCCATAGAGGGAGATGTTTGGGTGTTCGCCTTTAACAAGCAAACACCTAAATGTTCGCCCTGACACAAACCAAACCAAATGGTTGGACCCATACATGTACATGTTCAAGTCTCTGGGAGAAAAAAATGAAGTTCTTTGCATTGTTCAACTCAACCCTACCCGTGTGTGGGGTTGGGGCGGAAGAAGTGAGGATATGACAATAGTGGGCATGGGAGGAGAGAGACAGCAAGCACACATGGTTGATGAAATTTTGGGATGATGAGACGAGCATGATGGGAGGCAGGCACGAGTGAAAACCAAATTGCTGTTCGGTTTGAGGCAAGCAGGCTCATGCTGATTTTAATGAACCAGCTTGGTTTGAGTTGCACACAAGGTTCGGCAAGTTTGAGGTTCTCGTAGAACCTAGGCCTGGGAGAGGAGCTGTGTGGGGGGCATTCAGCCTGGCTGGGCTGCCAATTGCGAGACCTTTTACATGTTTTGATCTGATTGCCCGAAACTCCTTGCATGTTTTGATCTGATTGCCCGAAACTCCTTGCACTTGCTTTCTTGCGTGCGTCGATTATCTAGGTTATGCAGCTCTGGATCTATTCTCAAGAATTTAAGAGTTAATGATCTTGCCTCATGTTCGTGCATATAATTCGGATTAACGAGCTGCTTCATACAAATAAGTAAGCTGAGAAAGCATGGAGATGCTGTTGGGAATGGGGCCTGTCAAATCGTTGCTTGCAAGACTCCTGCATGTGTGTGGTGTGGGTTGGGGCGGAAGAAGTGAGAAGATTAGAATAGAGGGCATAAACTGAGGAATAGCAAGCACACATGGTCGAACCAGTTGGGCGATGAGACGAGCATCGCATGTGGGAATGAGTACTAACCAAATCGCAGTTTGGTTCATGTTCAACTCAAGTGACCAAACCAATTCAAATCACACACTCTGAAGTGTGTCAAACTGCGTTGAACCTGGGCATAGGATAGGGATGATGAGCACGGGTCGAGCCAGGTTACCACGGTTCGAGCCCAGGTTACCACGGGTCAAGCCCAGGTTACCACGGGTCAAGCCCAGGTTACCACGGGTCGAGCCCAGGTTACCACGGGTCGAGCCCAGGTTACCACGGGTCGAGCCCAGGTTACCACGGGTCGAGCCCAGGTTACCACGGGTCGAGCCCAGGTTACCACGGGTCGAGCCCAGGTTACCACGGGTCGAGCCCAGGTTACCACGGGTCGAGCCCAGGTTACCACGGGTCGAGCCCAGGTTACCACGGGTCGAGCCCAGGTTACCACGGGTCGAGCCCAGGTTACCACGGGTCGAGCCCAGGTTACCACGGGTCTAGCCCAGGTTACCACGGGTCGAGCCCAAGTTACCACGGGTCGAGCCCGGGTTACCACGGGTCGAGCCCAGGTTACCACGGGTCGAGCCCGGGTTACCACGGGTCGAGCCCGGGTTACCACGGGTCGAGCCCAGGTTACCACGGGTCGAGCCCAGGTTACCACGGGTCGAGCCCGGGTTACCACGGGTCGAGCCCGGGTTACCACGGGTCGAGCCCGGGTTACCACGGGTCGAGCCCGGGTTACCACGGGTCAAGCCCAGGTTACCGCGGGTCGAGCCCAGGTTACCACGGGTCGAGCCCAGGTTACCACGGGTCGAGCCCAGGTTACCACGGGTCGAGCCCAGGTTAACACGGGTCGAGCCCAGGTTACCACGGGTCGAGCCCAGGTTACCACGGGTCGAGCCCAGGTTACCACGGGTCGAGCCCAGGTTACCACGGGTCGAGCCCAGGTTACCACGGGTCGAGCCCAGGTTACCACGGGTCGAGCCCAGGTTACCACGGGTCGAGCCCAGGTTACCACGGGTCGAGCCCAGGTTACCACGGGTCGAGCCCGGGTTACCACGGGTCGAGCCCAGGTTACCACGGGTCGAGCCCAGGTTACCACGGGTCGAGCCCAGGTTACCACGGGTCGAGCCCAAGTTACCACGGGTCGAGCCCAGGTTACCACGGGTCGAGCCTGTTAGAATCCTGTGAAAGGATGAGGACTGAAAATTGAAAGGATTAATCTTAGAATGAAAAGCAGGGGTATACATAGTTGAGCTAGGAGAGTGGGGTTGGTTGGGAGCGTGGCCAAGATTATTGGCCCCCACCAATAATTGGGTTGGAAGAATTATTGGAGCCTCCAATTATCATAGGGCTCCAATAATTCTCTAACCCAAATTTTGGGGGCCAAACATTTTGGCCAAGGTTGGAACCAAACCACAACTAGGGTAAACCCCAGTTGTACACCCAAATCAGGTTTGGGTGCGTAACTCTAGACAAGCAAACTAGAATATGCAGGATAAATTGAATAGAGGTATTCTAACACAACCCCTTAGCCTGCATAAAGCTAGGAGGCTTGAATGAGAGACGGGACAACCCCTGAAGCATGAAGGGGGAGGAGGGGGGGGCCTGTCGTAAGTGAGGATGCAGGCCAGCCGAAGGTGCCGTGCGGTGACAGCAGGAGGGCTGTGAAGGAGAAGGGAGAAGGCTGCGGCAGCGGAAGGGGGACGGCAGCGGCAACGGGAGGGCTGCGGCGGCGAAGGGAGACGGCGGCGGCAGCGGGAGAGCTGCGGCGGCGGAAGGGGGATGGCGGCGGCAGCGGGAGAGCCGCGGCTGCGAAGGGAGACGGCAGCGGCAGCGGGAGGGCTGCGGCGGCTAAGGGGGACGGCGACGGCAGCGGGAGAGCTGCGGCTGCGAAGGGAGACGGCAGCGGCAGCGGGAGGGCTGCGGCGGCTAAGGGGGACGGCGACGGCAGCGGGAGGGCTGCGGCGGCGGAAGCGGGATGGCGGCGGCAGCGGGAGAGCTGCGGCGGCGGCGGCGGCAGCGGGAGATCCGCGGCTGCGAAGGGAGACGGCAGCGGCAGCGGGAGGGCTCCGGCGGCTAAGGGGGACGGCGACGGCAGCGGGAGGGCTGCGGGGGGGAAGCGAGGGGGAAGGGGGAGGAGGGCTGGATGGCCCGAAGGAGGAGGAAGCGAGGGGGAAGGGGGAGGAGGGCTGGATGGCCCGAAGGAGGAGGAAGCGAGGGGGAAGGGGGAGGAGGGCTGGATGGCTCGAGGGAGGAGGAAGCGAGGGGGAAGGGGGAGGAGGGCTGGATGGCCCGAGGGAGGAGGAAGCGAGGGGGGAGGGGGAGGAGGGCTGGATGGCCCGAGGGAGGAGGAAGCGAGGGGGGAGGGGGAGGACCGAGGGAGGAGGAAGTGAGGGGGAAGGGGGAGGAGGGCTGGATGGCCCGAAGGAGGAGGAAGCGAGGGGGAAGGGGGAGGAGGGCTGGATGGCCCGAAGGAGGAGGAAGCGAGGGGGAAGGGGGAGGAGGGCTGGATGGCCCGAAGGAGGAGGAAGCGAGGGGGAAGGGGGAGGAGGGCTCGATGGCCCGAAGGAGGAGGAAGCGAGGGGGAAGGGGGAGGAGGGCTGGATGGCCCGAAGGAGGAGGAAGCGAGGGGGAAGGGGGAGGAGGGCTGGATGGCCCGAAGGAGGAGGAAGCGAGGGGGAAGGGGGAGGAGGGCTGGATGGCCCGAAGGAGGAGGAAGCGAGGGGGAAGGGGGAGGAGGGCTGGATGGCCCGAAGGAGGAGGAAGCGAGGGGGAAGGGGGAGGAGGGCTGGATGGCCCGAAGGAGGAGGAAGCGAGGGGGAAGGGGGAGGAGGGCCGGATGGCCCGAAGGAGGAGGAAGCGAGGGGGAAGGGGGAGGAGGGCCGGATGGCCCGAAGGAGGAGGAAGCGAGGGGGAAGGGGGAGGAGGGCCGGATGGCCCGAGGGAGGAGGAAGCGAGGGGGGAGGGGGAGGAGGGCTGGATGGCCCGAAGGAGGAGGAAGCGAGGGGGAAGGGGGAGGAGGGCTGGATGGCCCGAAGGAGGAGGAAGCGAGGGGGAAGGGGGAGGAGGGCTGGATGGCCTGAGGGAGGAGGAAGCGAGGGGGAAGGGGGAGGAGGGCTGGATGGCCCGAAGGAGGAGGAAGCGAGGGGGAAGGGGGAGGAGGGCTGGATGGCCCGAAGGAGGAGGAAGCGAGGGGGAAGGGGGAGGAGGGCTGGATGGCTCGAGGGAGGAGGAAGCGAGGGGGAAGGGGGAGGAGGGCTGGATGGCCCGAGGGAGGAGGAAGCGAGGGGGGAGGGGGAGGAGGGCTGGATGGCCCGAGGGAGGAGGAAGCGAGGGGGGAGGGGGAGGACCGAGGGAGGAGGAAGTGAGGGGGAAGGGGGAGGAGGGCTGGATGGCCCGAAGGAGGAGGAAGCGAGGGGGAAGGGGGAGGAGGGCTGGATGGCCCGAAGGAGGAGGAAGCGAGGGGGAAGGGGGAGGAGGGCTGGATGGCCCGAAGGAGGAGGAAGCGAGGGGGAAGGGGGAGGAGGGCTCGATGGCCCGAAGGAGGAGGAAGCGAGGGGGAAGGGGGAGGAGGGCTGGATGGCCCGAAGGAGGAGGAAGCGAGGGGGAAGGGGAGGAGGGCTGGATGGCCCGAAGGAGGAGGAAGCGAGGGGGAAGGGGGAGGAGGGCTGGATGGCCCGAAGGAGGAGGAAGCGAGGGGGAAGGGGGAGGAGGGCTGGATGGCCCGAAGGAGGAGGAAGCGAGGGGGAAGGGGGAGGAGGGCTGGATGGCCCGAAGGAGGAGGAAGCGAGGGGGAAGGGGGAGGAGGGCCGGATGGCCCGAGGGAGGAGGAAGCGAAGGGGAAGGGGGAGGAGGGCCGGATGGCCCGAAGGAGGAGGAAGCGAGGGGGAAGGGGGAGGAGGGCCGGATGGCCCGAGGGAGGAGGAAGCGAGGGGGGAGGGGGAGGAGGGCTGGATGGCCCGAAGGAGGAGGAAGCGAGGGGGAAGGGGGAGGAGGGCTGGATGGCCCGAAGGAGGAGGAAGCGAGGGGGAAGGGGGAGGAGGGCTGGATGGCCTGAGGGAGGAGGAAGCGAGGGGGAAGGGGGAGGAGGGCTGGATGGCCCGAAGGAGGAGGAAGCGAGGGGGAAGGGGGAGGAGGGCTGGATGGCCCGAAGGAGGAGGAAGCGAGGGGGAAGGGGGAGGAGGGCTGGATGGCCCGAAGGAGGAGGAAGCGAGGGGGAAGGGGGAGGAGGGCTGGATGGCCCGAAGGAGGAGGAAGCGAGGGGGAAGGGGGAGGAGGGCTGGATGGCCCGAAGGAGGAGGAAGCGAGGGGGAAGGGGGAGGAGGGCCAGATGGCCCGAGGGAGGAGGAAGCGAGGGGGAAAGGGGAGGAGGGCCGGATGGCCCGAAGGAGGAGGAAGCGAGGGGGAAGGGGGAGGAGGGCTGGATGGCCCGAGGGAGGAGGAAGCGAGGGGGGAGGGGGAGGAGGGCTGGATGGCCCGAAGGAGGAGGAAGCGAGGGGGAAGGGGGAGGAGGGCTGGATGGCCCGAGGGAGGAGGAAGCGAGGGGGAAGGAGGAGGAGGGCTGGATGGCCCGAAGGAGGAGGAAGCGAGGGGGAAGGGGGAGGAGGGCTGGATGGCCCGAGGGAGGAGGAAGCGAGGGGGAAGTGGGAGGAGGGCTGGATGGCCCGAAGGAGGAGGAAGCGAGGGGGAAGGGGGAGGAGGGCTGGATGGCCCGAAGGAGGAGGAAGCGAGGGGGAAGGGGGAGGAGGGCTGGATGGCCCGAGGGAGGAGGAAGCGAGGGGAAAGGGGGAGGAGGGCTGGATGGCCCGAAGGAGGAGGAAGCGAGGGGGAAGGGGGAAGAGGGCTGGATGGCCCGAAGGAGGAGGAAGCGAGGGGGAAGGGGGAGGAGGGCTGGATGGCCCGAGGGAGGAGGAAGCGAGGGGGGAGGGGGAGGAGGGCTGGATGGCCCGAAGGAGGAGGAAGCGAGGGGGAAGGGGGAGGAGGGCTGGATGGCCCGAGGGAGGAGGAAGCGAGGGGGAAGGAGGAGGAGGGCTGGATGGCCCGAAGGAGGAGGAAGCGAGGGGGAAGGGGGAGGAGGGCTGGATGGCCCGAGGGAGGAGGAAGCGAGGGGGAAGTGGGAGGAGGGCTGGATGGCCCGAAGGAGGAGGAAGCGAGGGGGAAGGGGGAGGAGGGCTGGATGGCCCGAAGGAGGAGGAAGCGAGGGGGAAGGGGGAGGAGGGCTGGATGGCCCGAAGGAGGAGGAAGCGAGGGGGAAGGGGGAGGAGGGCTGGATGGCCCGAAGGAGGAGGAAGCGAGGGGGAAGGGGGAGGAGGGCCAGATGGCCCGAGGGAGGAGGAAGCGAGGGGGAAAGGGGAGGAGGGCCGGATGGCCCGAAGGAGGAGGAAGCGAGGGGGAAGGGGGAGGAGGGCTGGATGGCCCGAGGGAGGAGGAAGCGAGGGGGGGGGGGAGGAGGGCTGGATGGCCCGAGGGAGGAGGAAGCAAGTGCGTAGGGGGAAGCGCCGTTAAGCGCGAGGGCGGAAGCGACGGTAGCAGGGCGCCGTTAGGCGCGAGGGCGGAAGCGACGGCCGCGCAGCGGTGGCGATGCGATAACGCCGCAAAATCGCGTCCGCGCGGCTGCTATTCACGACGGCCGCAACGGTCGCGATTCGGCGGGCGTATGGCGGCGAAATCGCCGCGAAATCGCGTCCGCGCGGCTGCTGGTCGCGACGGCCGCGACGGTCGCGATTCGGCGGGCGTATGGCGGCGAAATCGCCGCGAAATCGCGTCCGCGCGGCTGCTGGTCGCGAAGGTCGCGACGGTCGCGATTCGGCGGGCGTATGGCGGCGAAATCGCCGCGAAATCGCGTCCGCGTGGCTGCTGGTCGCGACGGCCGCGACGGTCGCGATTCGGCGGGCGTATGGCGGCGAAATCGCCGCGAAATCGCGTCCGCGCGGCTGCTGGTCGCGACGGCCGCGACGGTCGCGATTCGGCGGGCGTATGGCGCCGAAATCGCCATAAAATCGCGCGGCTGCTGTACGAGACGGGAGGGTGGCCTTGCGCAAGGCAGCCGATGGTCTCGCGAAAGCTGGAGCAAGCGTGGAAGTACACGCAGGACACATGGTCCTAGGATCGGAAGGGGCGTGAGCCAAAATGCTCTGATACCATGTTAGAATCCTGTGAAAGGATGAGGACTGAAAATTGAAAGGATTAATCTTAGAATGAAAAGCAGGGGTATACATAGTTGAGCTAGGAGAGTGGGGTTGGTTGGGAGCGTGGCCAAGATTATTGGCCCCCACCAATAATTGGGTTGGAGGAATTATTGGAGCCTCCAATAATCATAGGGCTCCAATAATTCTCTAACCCAACTTTTGGGGGCCAAACATTTTGGCCAAGGTTGGAACCAAACCACAACTAGGGTAAACCCCAGTTGTACACCCAAATCAGGTTTGGGTGCGTAACTCTAGACAAGCAAACTAGAATATGCAGGATAAATTGAATAGAGGTATTCTAACAGAGCCCGGGTTACCACGGGTCGAGCCCGGGTTACCACGGGTCGAGCCCAGGTTACCACGGGTCGAGCCCAGGTTACCACGGGTCGAGCCCAGGTTACCACGGGTCGAGCCCGGGTTACCACGGGTCGAGCCGGGTTACCACGGGTCGAGCCCGGGTTACCACGGGTCGAGCCCAGGTTACCACGGGTCGAGCCCAGGTTACCACGGGTCGAGCCCGGGTTACCACGGGTCGAGCCCGGGTTACCACGGGTCGAGCCCGGGTTACCACGGGTCGAGCCCGGGTTGGCCCTTCTCGGGCCGGCACAATGTGAGTGTCAGCCTGCGGCCCAGACAAATGAGCAACCGACCCAACCCGACCCAACTTGGCCTGGCCAGGCGGGTTTCCGGGTCAGGGGATCCCTGACCCGACCCGGGGATACAAGGCCAGGTGTTACCTGACCCGACCCGGGGATACAAGGCCAGGTGTTACCTGACCCGACCCGAACATGGGTCGGGTACAGGAAACTCGCCCTCGCCCATGATCTGTGCAGGTCAGCACTTTCGTTCGCCGATCCACGCTGATTGGCGATTTCGCTGATACGCGCAAATCGGCAATCTCGTTGGCCGATCTGGAGATCAGGATTTTGCCTGTAACTTACTCAGCCTAGGCAATCCCTTCTTTCCAACCAGTTTGCCACTCCTCTCCACTCATTATTTTACCGCACTTAATCCACAATTTCAAATCCCCCCCCTCCAACCCTTCACAGATCTCTCGACATTGAGCGTCTGCACATAGTCGACTAGCACATGCCTCGAAATTGAGGGGTCAGCTAGGCGTGGATGTGATTCCTTCAAAAACACAATACTCCATAGTAACAAACTGAAATCCTTCAACATTGAAATAGGCAGGTCCGTCCATCAACATGTCGGCGCCAACCACAGTACATGGGCAGGTCCGTCCGGGGACAGATCAGAAGGATTGAGGGGTATTTTAATGTGGTGTGGTTGTCCAGAGTCTATTAGAACTCATGGCCACCCTAGCTCATGGCCACCCTAGCTCATGGCCACCCTAGATCATGGCCACCCTAGCTCATGGCCACCCTAGCTCATGGCCACCCTAGCTCATGACAATCCTGATTCCTGCCAGGCTTAACATGAGCCTCCCAGGTCGTCACCTATCGGACGAGCCACGATCCGACCTAGCCATAGTCCGGCATCGTGGCGAACCGGCCATTGGCCGGCCACTCTGGACAGTGGTCGGGGTCGGCTCGTCACGAGCCGGCCAGTGGCCGGCCATCGCTCATGTATACCTGAAGGAGCCAGCCCGGCCCGCCCTGGCCAAAAAGCAGGGCCAGGCTAGTGTGCGGCCCTAGTCTTGCTCATTTCTGGCCATACACTTTTCTATTGCCCTATCCTTGTTTCTTACTTGCGTGTGACATCTAGGTAACGTAACCTCGGGTTTTAGAGTTCACGTGAACTTTGATCTTGTCCGTGCTCATCCCGAGGTATAAACAAGGTGCTTCATACACATAAGTGAGACGATCAAGCTTGGAGATACTGTTGGGAATGGGGCCCGTCAAATTGTTTTTCGCAAGAGACCTGTGTGTGTGGTGTGGGTTGGGGGAAAGAAGTGAGGAAATGAGGAACAGTGGGCATGGACTGAGGAACAGAAGCACACAAGGTCGAGCCAATCAGGGGACGAGATGGGCTTTTAGGAAGGCAGGCATGATAAGAATTTGATTTTCAGTTCGGTTCTAGGCAAACAGTTCGAGTCGACTCAAATTGGCCAAACCGGTTCGAGTGGCACACCCGGTTCGACGAGTTTGTGGTTCTCGTAGAACCTGGGCCTAGGAGGGGGGAGAGCCGGGAAGAGGAGCTGCAGGGTAATCAGCTTGCGGCTGCCAATTGTGTGACCATATACGTTTATCACCCAAAAATCCTTGCTACATGACTTGGAGACTTTCTTGCTCGCATGTGAACGAGGTGCTTCATACAGATAAACGAGCGGAGAAAGATTGGAGATTCTGTTGGGAATGGAGCCCGTCAAGCTGTTGTGTGAAAGAGACCTGTGCTGTGTGCGCATCGTGTGGGTTGGGGCGGACGAAGTGAGGAGGCATAGGGGGCATGGAATGAGAATAGTGGGTATGTGCGGAGGAGATGAGATGAGAACAGGGGGTATGGGTGGAGGGACAGCAAGCACACACTTGTTGACCCAACTGGTTGATGAGACGAGCATGGAGAGAGGCAGGCAGGCATGTGTACAAGGTGAATCGCAGTTCGGGTTGAAGAGAACAAGTTCATTTTCAGCTTTAGTTGGCCTAACCCTGTTTGACAGGTTTGCGGTTCTCATCAAACCTGGGGGGTTGCAATGCGGTAATGTGTGGAGGCTGGGGGGGGGAATTGTTTTGGTAGCGAGTCTGCTCGGCGAACTAACAAAACCGCTCCCACTTGTTCGCGATTTTGCATTGCGACAACACACCCATTGAGTCATGATGCCGCGAAATTGACATTCCCATCAAAATTGTGATAAGTTTTGATGCAGTCCTGCGACTTTGCATGCACCTGCATCCTGCATCCCTCTCCTGAGCGTCCTTTAATTTACAGAATGTGCGTAACAAACTGCACGGATTCCATTGCGAAAGGGCCAGCCAGCGATTTTTTTCTTTCGAACACGTGAAATCCGTGAATGATCCGCAAGTTTCAACATTTGCGAAAACAAATTGGGGGAAAAGTTTCAAACAGATCCAGCAACGTTTTGGTGACTCCATATTCCATTCAACAGATCTGGCGATTTCGTTTAGTTGCGACAAATCTCTAATCTTCCTTGCGACAGATCTCTCATGTTTCTAGCCATTGTTTACCAGCCCCTGTATGTTCTAGACAACCTACAAAATCAGAAACTAGAACACAATCATACATGAAGTTTTTGCTCAAAGGGACTTTCAAGTCACTTACGGCTCACGGATCTCCTGACTTGCCACGAATCAAATCAGACCCGACTCGCGCTGTTTTTCAGAGTCGGCGACTCAACCCTGACTCGGCCCGGGTAAGGACCGACTCGACTCGACTCGAGGCACATGCACATGCTCATGACTATGTAGAGTTCAATGTAGTCTACCATTAGATTTTTATTGCCAAAGAAAGATTTTCAGGAAAATCCGTGTAGATTGTGGTTATATTGTACAACCTTTGCAAAAAAAAAAAGTGTGAGATTCTTACAAATAATCTAGTCATCTGAGAAACACGATGCTGTCAGGAATGGGACCATTCAACGCGTTCCTTCTGACAGATCTGCGTGGAGTGGGGTGAGTCACAGGGAGTGAGATGAGAAAAGTGGGCATGAGGTCAAGAACGCACACACGACACCATGGAAGATGGGACGAACATGGTGAAATTGTTCGATTTGGTGGACTGATGTAAACAGCCTGCATTGGGACGGAAACTGCAACTTGACGCAGCTCTAGCTGGTAGACATGATTAGGTCAGAAAAGCAAACTTCAGTTTAGTTCGATCAAACCGGTTCAAGTTTACTCGCCCAAATATTATTATATTTCAGAAAACATTCGACTCGAATTTCTAAATGGTTCGGCTTTTAAACAACCCCGCGCGGTGAAATTACAGGCCAGCCTTCACTGTTCTGCCGCATGAGGTCAGAGGTCAACCCGATCTGTTGACAATTGGGTAAATTTCACCATCATTGGATAAATTGACAGGTGGCACCGAGGTTTCACCCGTAGTTAACTAGCACCACATCATCATCTTGAAGCTCAGTCATTTGTGCGCACGAAACCAGCGTTGATGTGGGGAGGGAGGGGAGGAAATGCCCTAGCACCGGATTTCCTCCAACACACAGGAAGGGCAGTGGAAGGTAAGATATGTCAAAGGTTTTTTTGCTTGCTCAGTAAATCAGTGGCGGAGGTAAAAGCTTCAAGAACATAGCAGCCAGCCAACTCGAAGAAGCTTACAGATGGGTCAGATTGGTGAGCTTTCCAATTGCAGCAGGAATGGACCCGGTGAGCTGATTCCCTGTCACATTGCTGGCCACAGGGGACGGAAACCACACATGAATACCGCCCAACTCACTGACAACTCATCTCCCTAGAGATTGGAAATGACCACGGCTGATGCATGCAGGCTTGTAAACTTGGGCAAAAAGAGCAATAAAGACACATTGATGATGGGTGGAGACAGCTTAGTGTACTGAACATAGAGATGAGCATTTGCCCCGCGCGGGTCGGGCCGGCCCGACCCGACCCGTGGTTTAGCCCGGGTCGGGTCAGTAGTTTCAATAACCTGCCCCGTGCGGGCCGACCCGACCCGACCCGGGCTAAAACCCGACCCGAGCATGGGACTCGGGCCGAGTCGGGTCGGGTCTCGGGTCAGCTTTGACCCGACCCGATTTCGGGTCAGAATTTGGGAAATCGGGTCGGGTCAGATCTCGACACAGGGGGGACCCGAAACCCTAACACATTTTATGTCAAGGGTATTTTTTTCCCCGTACACATCATTTCATTACCGCACACCTAATATCCTTCCTCAAGCGACCAACGTCGTCTAGGAACCATAACTACTTAGTTTGCAGCCAAAGAATGATGCTGCTAAGTTAAAGTCGACTTTGTGGAGAGGCTCAATGTCGAGGGATCTGTAAAGAGTGAGGGGGGGGGGGGGGGGGGGGGGGGCGGGGGGAGGGTTGGGTATGGTAGATTTAGTGCGGTAAGGAGTGGTGAGCAGTGGCGAATTGGTTGGAATTATTTGTTCCAACACATTCGTCAGAAACGAGTGCCACGGCGAAACTCCCAATCTCCACCAGATTTTCAGCGAAATTGACGATTTGCAGAGTTGCGCCAACGAACTCACCGATCTGCGCAGATCGGCAGACGAAATCGCCGATCTGCGCAGATCGGCGGGAGAAATCGCCGATCTGCGCAGATCGGCGGGAGAAATCGCCGATCTGCGCAGATCGGCGGGAGAAATCGCCGATCTGCGCAGATCGGCGGGCGAAATCGCCGATCTGCGCAGATCGGCGGGCGAAATCGCCGATCTGCGCAGATCGGCGGGCGAAAGCGCCGATCTGCGCAGAGCGCGGGTGAAATCGGGTTTCCTGGCCCGACCCGACCCGGCCCGAGCCGAACTCGGGCCAGGGTCGGCCCGGCCCTGTACCCCCGGGTCGGGCCAGATGTTTCGGGAATCTGGCCCGAGGTCGACCCGACCCGACCCGACCCGAGGGCCCGTATGGCTCGGCCAAATCGGGTCGGGTCGGGTCGGGTCGGGTCAAATGCTCAACTCTAACTGAACACTTCTTATACAGATGCAACACACTTCTGTCCCTGGAAATCCACACTTGCAACACCAGCATATCTCACACTGCTTACAAGTACTCCAATGAAACGAGGCTTAGAATCCCAGCTGGAATAGACCCGCTGAGCTCACAACGGGACAAGACTCTCGGACGGGGTTGTATAAAACAGTAAAGAAGGCGATGTTAATTCAGTGGTCATCCAGTCAGGCCTGCGCAAACTGGCGTACACCCGCTTGGTTCGTTTGAGACGAGCCGGACACACTTTTTTCTTTTCTTTTGCCGAAAATGTTCATGGCGAAGACGTTCATGTTCGCCCGAGCATGGTCGTGCTCGGTTCGTTGCAGCTAACCGAGCCCGAAGAACACCAACATGTTTGTGTTTGTCTGGCCCCTCCAACGAACAGAAATGTGTTCGAGACACTTTTTTAGGTTGACATTGGGTACTTTCAGAATAGTCACATTCAGGGTGGAAACTCAGGATGCTCTTGCCCTTGCCGTTGCTTTTCCTACACAAGTGATACAATGCAAGCATAAGCAACGCGTGTACAACAAGCAATAGTGTTCTGGGAACTGCTGATGTGGCCATATCAAGAATGGGCACATCACCATTTCACTGTGAGGTTCTTACAGTTCTGTGAGTGAAGTGAGAGAGGAAATGCTGTTAGGGATAGACCCACCAAGAGTTGTATCCGGCAAATATCTATGTCAGGTGGGTGGGTGGGTGGGTTGAGAGAAGAAAGGAGTTAGGAAACTGGATGGAGACTGACTGTAGCGCCTATGGGACCTACATGTAAGGGTTGAGTGCCTCCGCTGAGCCTCAAATACAAACCCTCGTTTTGACCCAGTAGCGAGGCGTTATACTGGTAACAGTGCCTAGGGTTTCAATTCTTGGCTCGCTAGTAGCGAGAACTTGAATGTGGTAGCCCAGGTGCGAACCTAGCGAAAGGTCCCCCTCCGGCCTACTCCACCAGTGAAGAAGTAGTTGTTGCGAAAGGTCCTAAACTAACGAGGATGTTGGCACCAATGGGGGGCGAATATAACGCCTGTGAGACTTACATGTTAAAGTTGAGTACAACCACTGCACCTCATGCAACCCTCGTTTGACCTAGGGTTGTGAGGCGTTATACCGACTGACAATACAAAGGGAATTATTTAATGCAAATCCTGCTGCAGGCATCATTCAGAAGCAAGTATGCAGACACAAGCAGACTCTGAGGTCCAACCTCTGAAAGATTGAAGTATTCTTACATTGAGGTGATCATGCCTGAAGCGTCCCATTTGACCCCAACATTGCCACAGGTAGCACCCATGGCCCAGCCTGGGAAAGTCTCCCATGCCTTCTGGCAGTCGTTGAGAAACACCGCTGACAGTTGGGGACAGGAGAGGAGAGAGAACAAGAGAGAGAGCGAAGCAAGGTTATGGATGCACTGCAACCTGCACTGTCGGGAGGGAAGCTTCCAAGGAACGCTGCTGCTACCCGTGCCTGGCTATGGACGCCAAGGAACGCTCTTGTGATGAGTCCCTCCTAATCACTCAACGACCGTCCCCAAGAACTCGCACACAAAAACACAAGTGAAACACACTTTGCTCAATCCAGTTTTCGTGAACACACTTTGCATTACCATGATTGCTGAATGGGTGGGATTGTTTTGGGTTAGGTTGCAGATACATCGCAAGCACCGTTTAGGGCTTCTCGTCGACTGTTCAGGTATTACTCGGCAAACCACAAGAATCACCGGAATGGGGAGAGTCCACTGACTCTACCGAGACTTCTTTTCGAGATTCGATATGAACCAAACCTTCAAACAGCATTATACATTTGGCAGCACTGTAATTTCTGTTACACATGGGCATTTGGCCCGGACGGGTCGGGTTACCCGACCCGACCCGCCTTTTTGGGTGGGTCGGGTCAGGTATGGTGAGAAGGTCGACCCGCCCGGGTCGGGTCGGGCCTACTCGGACGGGTCGGGTCGACCCGTGACCCGTTAGTGTCATTTTTTCACGGGCATCAGCAACCCGACGGGTCGGGTTGACCCGACCCATCCGGGTCGCGTTCCGTGTCTGGGTCAGGTATACCTGACCCGTCCCGTGTAATATTTAGGGGACTCTAGGGAACATCAATTTGGATGATTTGTAACTCGACTTCCACTTCCAGACTTTAGATGTAGTTGAACGCTTACCTACCCACCTTCCCCTTTCACTCTAAATCATTCACTTTAGGTTTAGGATTAGGTTACTACTCTTCCTTCTCCTCATATGTAGGTCTCAAAACGCCACCATAGTTTGTAAGGAATAGATACTGTACCCACCAAGGTCAATGACGCTGCAGCTGTGAGCACGATAGTGTAGGAAACGTCAGCGACATGTACCCGCTTTCGCGCGAGGCACTGCTCATCAATCGCGCGCATAGCCGCTAACTTGCGCGCCCCCTTAAGCATAGGGGTGCGCGCCTCTTCGCAGCATCGCGCGTCCAGGGACGCAGCAACGTGAGCGCGAACACGCAGCAGCGCGATCGCCACAAGACAGAGTTGCGGTCGCTACCAACTGCAGCGCGAAGGCCAGCATGAGCAGTGGAGATCGCCACCAACAGCGGAGGAGATTGCCATAAACCCTGAATATATCATACCCTGCCCTTACCCGACCCGTCCCGACCCGCCCTATAACCAACCCGGAGACGGGTTGCAGATACCCGTGTACCTCGGATGGGTCGGGTCACATGATTAGGCCAAACTTGACCCGCCGACCCAACCCGACCCGACCCGTGGCAGTCACGGGTCGCCCTAAACGGGACGGGTCGGGTCAAATGCCCATGTCTGTAGAGTGTGCCAAGCAATTTCACCTCAACAAAACTAGAAACAAAATTGCGAGAGTGCTGGCGAAAAACTGAAGCGCTTTGTTGTGAGGGAACCAGGGTTGGGTAGGCTGCCAATCACAAAATGGGAAAGGCCTCCCGTCACTAACTCACCTTCCACCTCACACCACGGAGAATAAGGGTACGATCTTGGCTGGTGCTTAGAAGCTTGTCACCAAGCTCTGAAAAAAGTTGGGATTTGGGTAGATTCTGACGATGATGACAATGATGACGTGGAAATCTTCCATTTGCCTTGTGCAGCAGACAAGAACGCACCCTAAGCATCTAATACCTAATACATTAGGTACAAACAACCAGGCGCGGGCCGGAGGGTGCTAGCAGCGCGACCACACGCGGGTGAGTAATTAGCCATGTGCAGAACAGGCGACGCCTGCGAGCGTCACTGGCGCCAGCTATGCTTGCAGTCCGCTAGCGCCACTTGCGCCAGATATGATGGCATTCCGCGAGCGGAATGCGCCAGCTACGCTGCCATTCCGCGCGCGGCACTTGTGCGCGCTATGCTGGCATTCCGCGCGCGCTAGCATAGCGCGCTCAGCAGAGCTGCGCGCGCAGCAAAACGCGCGCAGCAAAGCGGCAGCGCCGCGACCCGCTTGAACTCAACCTCCCGCGACCCGCTTGAACTAATCGTAATTCACCATTCGCATGAACACATCGCGCTCGTGCCGTCACGTGACCGGAAAGAGGATCAGTACTAGTACTAGTTGCAATGATGGGCAGTACGAACCGCGGGCTGATTGATATTACGTGCTCGAGAGGAACGACGGTACGAGAGAGGTCGAGAAGCGGCGCTGGTTGCAAATACTAGCATTGTGCGAGGAGAGAGGGAGGCACCTTGAGTAGCGTTGATCACCGGTTGCGCGGCATGGCAAGAGACGAATGCAGTAAGCCAAAGCGCGGCGGAGAGTGCAAGCGACGGTCGCAGCTGCACCGTAATTGGCTTAGGCGGCGGCATTTGCGGCGTCGGCGCAGTCTGGATTGCTCTGTGTAACCCTTCACTAAGCAGTGTAACGTGACAGGTAGGGACGAGACTAGAAAAAGCCACCACTCGGGAAGCTATGTTTCTCGCGATACAGTGCAGTGGGGTGAAATATCGCTTCCCTCCAGTGCAGTGGGGTGAAATATCGCTTCCCTCCAGTGCAGTGGGGTGGGGGTTACCTGGGGGTATGATTTGCGCGGCGCTGAGTTCGAGTTGGCGCCAAAGCAATGGAAACCAACGGGCAGTGTTTGTGTGTGTCTTTATACGGTGTATTGCAAAACTCGTATTATTAGTTGAACTATATCTATTTGAACCTAGGTCGACCTAGGCTCGACAATACAAATTCATTTTGCTCTAGCTGCTGTTCCTCGCTTCACATGTATCAAACGGAACACACGAGTTCATGTCAAAACACTGTAATGTTTATATTGTGTAGGCTGTAATGGGGTAGCCCATAAGGGGTACAACCCAAATTAGGTTAGTACTTATACCCAGTTCTATCTTCAATGCACACAATTCTCGCTTAGTCTTCCGACATGGATTCAGAGTTTTTTAGGGCCCACCGTACAGTTCCCTGCCCGTAGCGCGTTACCCTGCCCGTAGCTAGGGCACCTAGGGCGGCAGCTCCTATACCTGGATCAGGCGGCATACACAAGTAGCAGTCACCCTCAGCACTAACAGTCAATGCATACATGGCAGCAAGAATAGCATCATAGTCAAGATCAAAGATAGGAACACCACGCCTAAGCAGATCTGCCCAGTTGGGCAACTCAGTTGCCGCAGGAAACTTGACGCGCAGGCGTCAGTAAGCCTAGCAAAGCAGCGATACTCAGTGTGCAGACCATTGCATGGGCGGCCAGCGTGGGGACCTGCTCGAATGATGTAGGTGCAGGGAACAGAACCCCCAGACGCCCCACGCCCCGCATACCAGTCATGGAGCTGCTGGGACGAGGGAGCCTAGTGCTGGCGCTGCTGCTGCTGCTACTGCTGCTGCTGCGGCTGCTGCTGCTGCTGTCCCTGGCCACCACTGCTGCCACCACTACCAGCTCCTCCCCCACTACCGCCGCTGCCACCGCCACTGCTCCCGGTACCACCGCCGCTCCCACCACCTCCACCACCGCCTCTACCATCCCCACCTCCTCCACCTCGCCCGCCACCACCACCACCGCCCCCTCCACCGCCACCTCCACCTCCCCTGCCAGCCCCTCTGCCCCGGGCGTTGCGGCGCTTCCCACTAGGAGCGGAAGCAGCCCCAACCTCCTCAGCACCAAGGAAGTCGACAGCAGTAGCAGCAGAGGCGTGGAGGCGGTAAGTGGGGAGGGGGAGCACCCCTCAAAGAGGGGAGTGCGAGGAGCGCCACGAGCCGCACCCACAGCAAGGATGTTCTTCTCAGCTGCGAGAAGCTGCGTCGCGAAGTCGTCGACGGTGAGAGCGGTAGGGTCTAGAGCGAGAAAGTGGTCCCTGACCGAGCGAAGCGTGTCAGGGAGGCGGGTGACAAGGAAGTAGAGCGTAAAGTACACCGGAGGGGTGTTCTTTGCGAGGAACTCGTCCTTAAGGGCGGACCGAAAGCAAGCGTCACTAGCGCGCAGGTGAGAGATGAGGTCCTCAGCAGTGTGAAAGGAGGACAGGTCGGGGAACAGGTAGGGTAGCATGAGACGACCTAGGGCTGCAGTGGCCGGGGAGGAGTAGCGCGCAACTACAGCGTCATACAGTGCCTTAGCAGTCTTGTGCTGGCTAAAATGCGCGCGCTCGGGGATCGGCAGGTGATTGCGAATAGCGAGGCGTGCAGCAGCATCGCGAGTCTGCCACTGTGAGAGGTCGAGCGCAGAAGCATCAGCAGCAGGCTCAGGGGCAGTGCCAGACGCGTGAGCGAACAGGGGAATGCCATCTTTGGCATCAGTCATAAGAAACAGTTGGAGATCGTCGAGCCACACTGTGAACTCGATCGGGCTACCGTCAGGCTCAAACGCGAGAATATGAGGCGTCGTCATAATCGCAGTCCAGAGAAATGCAGCAGGCAAAGGCAGTAGGCGAAATCAGTAGGCAGATGCAGCGCAGGCAGCGCAAGGGGGGGGGGCCAGCAAGCCTCAGGCAGGCTGCAGCGGCGCGGGGCAAGCAGGTAAGGCAGAGCGCGGGGCAGGGGCGGGCCGTGCGTGGGCGGCGAAAGGGCGCGGGTGGTGCGCGGGGCAGCACCAGGCCGCGGGCGGGCTGCGCGGGCTCGGCGCGGGCTGTGCGGGGCAGCAGCGGGCCACGCGCGGGCTGCGCGGGCTCGGCGCGGGCTGTGCGGGGCAGCAGCGGGCCACGGGCGGGCTGTGCGGGCTCGGCACGGGCTGCGCGGGGGAGCAGCGGGCCGCGCACAGGCTGCGCGCGCTCGGTGCGGGCTGCGCGGATGGCGCGTGGGGCTGCTGCGGGGCGCGGACGGGCTACGCGGGCTCAGCGCGGGCTGCGCGGGCAATGCGCGGGGCAGAAGCAAGGCGCGCGCGGGCTGCAAGGGCGACGCGCGCGAGGCAGCAGCAGACAGTAGGCAGCAGCGAGTGAAATTAGGTCTGTGTGCAGAGCAGCAGCAGACAGCAGACAGCGGGCAGACGGCGCATGCAGCGCAGCACGTCACAGGCATAGTTACAGTCACAGTCGTGGGGTAGCGGTAGGTGGGCCCGAAAAAAAAGACGGTCCTACGGACCTACTGCTCTGAAACCATGATGAGAATGCTAGACAGGAATGAAATGACTAGATCAGGGTTTGGTACAAATATGAAACCCTAATGGGGTTGTACCCCATATCAGCTACCCCACTACAGCCTACACAAATATAACATGCATATAAGTTTGACACGCACGCCCTGCCCTGCTTCGCGCTGATTGCGCACGCCTTGCCCTGCCCACGCGCCGCCCTGCTGATAGCGCGCTTCCTTACCCTGCCCGCGTGCTGCCCTGTTGGCCGCCGCGCCGCGTGCTGCCCTACTCGTCACGCGCCACCCTGTTCAGCTAGCTATGGCTACCCTCAGCGTTCACATCTTTGCTTCTGAGGGCCATCCGATCCAGTTTGATACATGGCTCGACAACTTACAGCTGTACCTACTGAGCGATTCTAAAGATGGCGTCTCGTTGTTTGATCACACGTCTGGAGCCTCTCTTGCTCCTCCCGACACAGCTGACAGTGCGATTCGCTCACAGTGGCTTACCTGTGACGATGCTGCTCGCCTAGCCGTTCGCAACCACCTGCCGTTAGCCGAACGCGCTCAATTTGGCCAACACAAGTCACCTAAAGCCCTGTACGATGCTGTAGTCGCGCGCTACTCCTCCCCTGCCACTGCTGCTCTCGGCCGCCTTATACTGCCCTACCAGTTTCCGAAGCTGTCCACCTTCGCCTCAGTCGATGGCCTCATCACCCACCTTCGCACTAGCGACACTCGCTACCGCGCAGCGCTTAAAGCCGAGTTCATAGACAAGAACCCGCCCCCGATATACATCACTATCTACTTCATAGTCACATGCCTCCCTGGCTCTCTTTCCGCAGTCAGGGACCACTTTCTCGCCCTTGACCCCACAGACCTCACTATCGACCTGCTCGAGAAGCACCTCCTTGCAGCTGAGACTAGCATAGTCGCTGTAGGTGCTGCGCGTGGCACTCCTCGCTCTCCCTACTTTGAGAAGTGTTCCCCCTCCCCCCTTGCCCCATGTGTCGCTTCTCCTGCTGCTGTTGACTTTCTAGGTGCTGAGGAGGTCGGGGATGCATCTGCTCCTAGTGGGAGGCGCCGCGGCGGCAAGGGCAAATGAGGCAAGAGTGGAGGGGGAGGCGGTGGTGGAGGCGGTGGAAAAGGTGGTGGAGACGGTGGAGGTGGTGGTGGTGGCAGTGGGAGTGGGGTGGGAGTGGAGGCTTCGGTGGCGGCGGCGGTGGTAGCGGTGGGAATGGCGGCGGCGGTGGTGGCGGCAGTGGGAGTGGTGGCGGCGGTGGTGGTCGGGGTGGAGCCTTTCAGAGGGGAGGTTCTGGCGGTGGCCAGAGGCAGCAGCAGCAGCGTCCGCGCGAGACCCTTACGCCCCAGCAGCTTCGTGAGTGGTTTGCTCAGCGTGGGGTGTCTGGGTGTAGTGTTTGCTGCCCGTACGCCATCTGCACAGGTGACCGCGCTAGTCAGACATGCGAGAAGTATCACACATAGCACCGCTGCTTCTCCCGCCTTCACGACGCTTGGCACGCACGGTTTGATGACAAGGCGGAGCTCTCCCGCTGCCCAGTCCTGCTTAGGTCTGGTGTTGATATCTTTGCTCTTGACTATGATGCTATCCTTGCTGCCATGTATGCTATGACTGTTAGTGCTGAGGGTGACTGTTACCTATGTGTGCCGCCTGAAACAGGTGTAGAGGCTGCTGCTCTAGGTGCTAGTGAGTCTTCTCTTTCTGGTACTGCGCCTACTCATGTCTTGCACACCTTCATGCTTGACTCAGGTGCTTAGCGCTGTGTCTTTCGAGACAGTCCCAAAGTCACACCACTCCCTGCACCTGTTGCAGTCTCTCTGGCTGACCCCTCTGGGGGCCCGGTTCTTGCACGTTCCTCCACTGTTCTCTCGTGTCCAGCTGTTCCGTCTAGCTCACTCTCAGGTCTCCACCTCCCCTTGTTCTCTACGAACTTGGTAAGTACCGCTGCCCTCCAGGATGCAATGGTCACCACCAACACTCCTGTGGGTCAGCATGTAGCGATTTGCACGTGTACCCAGACGGGCCGTCATCTGACCACGTTCACTCGTCGGCCGGGGTCGAGTCTGTACACACTGACTACTGAGCCTACTCAGGTGGCTGCGTCTGGTCAGGTGTCCGCGTCAGGTCAGGTAGCAGCCCCCTGCTCGTGTCGGCTCCTCTCGCACCAGACTCTCCTTTGGCACCACCGCCTTGGTCACCCCTCCCTGCCACGCCTCTGTGGCATGCATTCCCGCCTGCTTGTCTCTGGTCTTCCTAGGTCTCTGCCCCCCTTCCCGCCCTCGCCCGGCCCCCCTGCCTTGCTTGCGTCGAGGGGCAGCAGCGCGCCGCTCCTCACTCCTCGTTTCCCCCGACGACTGCTCCCTTGCAGACTCTCCACATGGACGTGTGGGCCCCCCCCCCGCGTCCAGGGACAGGGCCGCGAGCGATACTTTCTGCTGGTTGTTGACGACTACACACGTTACACCACGGTCTTCCCCTTGTGCAGCAAGGAAGAAGTCCCTGATGTTTTGATCCCTTGGATCCGCGCTGTCCGTCTCCACCTCCGCGAGCGGTTCCGTACGGACCTTCCTGTCCTGAGTCTGCACTCTGACAGAGGTGGTGAGTTCTCCTCTGACCTCTTGCGGGACTTTTGTCATGGGGAGGGCATCCTCCAGTCGTTCACGCTTCCGGCCTCCCCACAGCAGAATGGGATTGTTGAGCGCTGCATTGGCAGTTATGGAGGTGGCCCGTACCTCCATGATCCATGCGGCTGCTCCCCATTTTCTGTGGCCGTTTGCAGTCCGGTACGCTGCGCATCAGCTCAACATCTGGCCCCGTGTCTCCTTGCCGGAGACCTCGCCCACACTGCATTGGACAGGGAAGGTTGGCGACGCGTCGGTGTTCCGGGTATGGGGCGCTCGTGCCTTTGACTGCGATACGTCCGCGGACAAGCTCTCCTCTCGCGCCATTCCCTGTGTCTTCCTTGGCTTCCCCCCTGACGCGCCTGGCTGGCAGTTTTACCACCCCACCGTGCGCCATGTTCTGTCCTCTAAGGATGTCACGTTTGACAAGTCGGTTCCCTTTTACCGTCTCTTCCCCTACCACAGTGCCCCTCTCCCCTCCCCGCCGTTGCTGGGTAGTAAGGTAAACCAACACAATTAGAGAAGCATAACTTTCAGTCAGGTGAGTAATGTAATAGTACCTGTGGATGGTGAGCTTGCGAAGGCATGTAAGACGCAGACGCGGCTCGAAATCTTCTCATCGCGTCCGTGTGCCGTCATTGGCGTCGCCTAGCGAAGCGTCGCGTGACCACGCTCTCCGTCAAAGAGGACCTCCTTGTGTCCCTCCAAGACCTCTCGGCTGCCATCGCGTGCTTCCCCAACCTCACCCATCTGCATCTCAGCGACAACAGCGTTGAGACGCTCAACGACGCCTTTCTAGATCACCTCGCTTCTTCATGCCCAAAGCTGACGACTCTCCATGTGGGTTGGAGCTTTCCAGTGGGGTGGATCTTTCCAGTGGGCGGGCAAGATGTTGCCAGTTTTGAGTATTATCTCAGGAAGGAGGAGCATCCGATATCTTCGGACGGTTTAGATTGCTTCTTCCTAAAGCTCCCACGATTAGAGCAATTTGCCCTCCTCTGCCCCCACCAAGCAATACTACCAAGCTCCTTCTTTCATTTGGGGCATCTCTGCACCCTTGTCCTCCACGATGCATGTGCATTGAGAAATCCCGATTTCGCATGCCTAACAGCCTTTACCACCGTTTGTGTCACCTTTCCCTGGAATCTTCAGGACCTGGCCACCCTCTTCCTCCTCCCACGGCTCGCCCATCTCTCCACCTTTGCCCCATACCAGAGCCATCAGCCCTTGGCGTGTGCTGCAAGCATGGTGCCGCCGTCTTGCCTCAAGTCTCTCGCTTTTGCAGTTTCGTGTCCTGAGTTTGACATCGTCTTCTCATCAACATCGCCGTTCACCGGCCTAGAGGAGCTGCTTATCGAAGACTGCACTGGGCTCACGAGTCTTCCCTACCACATTGATGCCTTGCTGCCATGTCTACGCAAGCTCACCATTAACCAGTGCGAGCATCTTGTCGACCTGCCTCAAAGCTTCGCGTCTCTCAGTCGTTGGAAACCCTCGTATTACGTGCTTGCAACCGCCTTACCTTGCCCAGCAACTTCGGTGACCTGCCTGCCCTCAAACTGTTGGTGCTGGAGTTTCTGACTCTCTGGGAACTCCCTCCTTCCTTCTGCCGTCTCTCGTCACCCGAGGCACTCATTATAGCTGGAAGAACCGGTGAGGATTTCCAGCTGCCAGCAGGTTTTAGCGGCCTCGTAGCTCTCAAGGCTTTCTTTATTGCCGAGTCGGATCTTACCTTGCCAGAAGACATAGGGGCCCTTGCAGGTCTCAAGGCTCTCATGCTGGTCACTTACGCACAGCCCTTTCCTGCTTCTTTCACACAGCTGACTTCCTTGACGAGCCTTGACCTGAATAGCTGGGGGCTCGAGACCGAGCTGCCGGAAGCCCTGGGGGAACTGAGCAGCCTACAGGAGCTGAAAATTCAAGTCAGTCCAATTCGCACTCTTCCCATGTCAATTTTACAACTTACCGGGCTTCATACTTTGGTGATCAGGGATTGTGACGAACTTTCAGAAGTGCCCTCGAGGCTGGATACGTTTGTGGGGCTTAAGACGCTGGAGATACTGCGGTGTAAGAAGCTCCGTAGATCCCCTGCAAGCCTGCCGCCCTCTCTTCAGACCCTGCGCTTGGGCGGCCTTCAAAAAGGCTCTTCCCATGTCATCGACATCTCCCAGCTGTTGCAGCTGAGGGAGCTGGAGCTGAGGGGGGTGAGGATGCGGTGCGGGCCTGCAGAGAGTGGGAGGCTGCCGTGCTTGGAGCAGCTGGAGCAGCTGGGGATGGGTTTTACATGCCAGGGATGGGAGCTGCCAATCCCCCGCATCGTTCTCCCCCGCCTGCGCCACTTGATGACTTGCGCAGATGAAGGTTACAGCCTCCCGGAAAACATGGCGGCAGCGTTGCCGCAGCTGCGGCAGCTGAAGCTTCTTCGTTGGCATTCGGCAGAGTTGCTGGGAAGCGTAGTGGAGATTACCTCGCTGACGTCTCTCACGGTTGAAGCACCTCAGCTGACGTCACTACCTCAAGGCATGAGCCGCTTGTCTCGGCTGCGCAAACTGGAGCTGATTCGCTGCACTGCCTTGCAGCACCTCCCGGAGTGTCTCACCCAGCTGCACCAGCTCATACTGCGTGACACCTCCATCACCTCCCTCCCTGCCAACCTGGTGCAGCTTACTAGGGAGCGTTGACTCGGTTGTCTGCCTTGGGCTTCATTGCAGCTCACTGAGGTGGGTGGACTAGACTCAGTTGAAGGGGTGCTGTATTATCTCCAATGCTGCTTTCACTGACTAGGTAGATGCCCTGGCGGATCAGTACTAAGCGGCTGTGTAGTGTGCTCTCATTGTGCTTCTCATGACTCTGTGCTGGCAGATGCTGAAGGGCGAAAGCGTCTTTGAAGGTGGTATCACCACACCTGCCATACCCCCCGCTCCTCTCCAACCCCCACACCTGCCATACCCCCCGCTCCTCTCATACCCATCACTCTTCGTAAACCCCCCACGCTTCCCACTCGTGGATTTCTTGGTAGTTGCTGTATCTTTCATCCCTTCTTACCGCCCTTTCACTACTGGGTTTGCTCTTGTTATGACTGTCACAACCGTCACAGCTGCAAGCCTTTCCTCGGATCCTCCAGGACCCACTCGTCCGTTTGCTCCTCCTCCGGTCCTTTGCTTCTTCCAATGCGTGCTGCTTCTCGCCCCACCTTTGCCTCGCCATGCGCGCACTGTTCGGTTCTTTCTCTGTACTGTGCCTTGGTTCGGTTTAGGGTGATGCAAGAAGACTGTGCAGAATGGTTGTTGTGCATGCTTATACCGTAGATGTCATTGGGAATTGTACGATGCTGCTATGCTTGATACAGATTGTGATTGTGATTGTGTTCAGCAATATAACGTCTTCACCACATCTGCTGCCTGATTCAACCTGGTGCACACAGAGCTAGCCTCCACCAAGCCAATCAAACTTTTAAATGCGTGATATTCGTCCTTCAGACAGCTAGAAGCATACCCAATAGAGTCCTGTGCTGTGTAGAGGTGAGAAGGGCTACGGTATAAGGTAATCTGTGCTGGGACTGCCTATGGTATTGTGTGGTGCAGCGGAGATCAAATCAGTGTGAATCAAATCATAGCTTATTCTGTTTATGCTTGGCTTGTAACAAAATACCAGCACCATCATGTCTCATTGCAGCGTGGTGCTTAGCCATCAACAGCTGGAAGAATCATGAACGTTTATATTCCAGAAGTGCAGCACAAGTGATGATGCGATGCAGGACAGTCATACGCGCCAGAGGGAGGCCTTGCGCTTGCTGATTAGGGGGCTGCAATGAGGGAGGGGTGACACAAGGCACACCAGGCAGAGAGTGCAAGAAGGGCAGGAAAGAAGGAACGGAGGGCAAGGAAGATGAAGGCTGAGAAGAGGCAGAGCACACTGCCTTGAAAGGCGCCTAGCCTCTCATGAGAGCCAGTCCTGTGGTAAGCGCCAGTCCGGTGGTAAGAGGCCCCTGCTCACCGTTGTGAGAGTGACAATGCTTACCTTGTGCCTGCCAAATAGGGCCTGTTAGGGTTAAGGGCAAATGGTAGGTAGGGTGGCTGTTAAAACCCGCATCTCATATTTCTTGTTTCCAACCAAAGGTAATACGCTTGAAACCGGGTAACCAAACAATCACTCGTGTTATGAGTTGTACTAAGAAGAGTGCGCGGAAGACTTTATAAAAGGATGTTGAATACAGAATGTCGAGAATGATAATGAAGCGAGCATTTATAGGGTCGAAACCGTGCTAGGCGAGGACCTCGATGTGCATGGCTCGGGAATGTCGGAATTGGTGCGGGGCGACTCGGAGCTGGTTTGGTGCGAAGGTGTAGGCCGAGCCCAAACTGACGCGAACAGTTCGGGCAGTCCTCGATAGGAACTGTCTCTACAGTAATGATTCTAATTCATTACACTCTCCCACCTTCTAAAGAAGGCGCCTTATACGTAGGCGAGTCCGGCAGTAGCGTGAAAACTGCAGATCTCGGTCAAAAACCAATCTGACGGTGCGGAAGCGTTGTTGACTTTCGGGCTGACGCGTGGCTGAGCGCGTTGACCAGGCGAATTTCAGAGTTGGAATGTCAGCCGTTGATACTGCCGATGTCGATCGGGCGGTTGAAAGCGAATGACAAGTTGAAACCTTTCGACGAACGAAGACCGTCGATGTCGGGGACGTGTATCGGATGATTCCGATGGACGCAATGTCGGCGGAAATTCTGACGCGCTGTCAGAGATCGATGAATTTGGTGCCGTCGATTCTGGGTGTGTCAGACGATCTGGCAGAAATAACTGCCGAAATGTCAGAGACCTGCCGAGAAACAGTGCGTGAGCACGCTTTCTCCCCCCCCTTGAAGATAACTGCTGCCCACCGACATGTGCCCAGCTGCGCGGGCACAAAACCACAATCACCCAGATGCCGAGGGTAGTACAGAATACCAAGTGTGATAAACTCCCGCCTGAAACTCAGCCACTGTGCTGTCGAAATTGTTGTCGGTGGCGAAAATGTCGAAATCCCGACTCGTACTGCTTCCAGGGTAAATCGCGTCGAAGTCCCTTGAGTGGTAAAACGTTGTGCGCTGAGACTCGAAACCCTTGGAAATAAGATTTCCTGTAGAAAACAATCTTCTTGTCTTGTAGTCGCGACTGCTGCTGCAGAATCTCCCGTGACTGCCACCCCGAAATCCCGCGCGTGGCAGTACCGAATCACTTTACTGCTGCCAAATCTCTAGCTGTCAGCTGCTGCAATCCGAAATTGCTGCTGTTTGTTGTCGCGTTGCTGTGGCGAAATTCTCGCTGTAGCTGCTCCAGCTGTCGGTGCCCCCGGCAGTCTTGTGCAGACTCGCCGAGGCACTTGTTGCGTTGCTCCAAAAGCTCCCAGGCAGGGGCGAAAACAGCTGCTGCACTTCCCCCTGACCGCCTGCAATATATTTTCAAAGTTGAACTCGAACTGCCGATGACGTCGGCGGCATAGTCGGTGTTGTCGTGACGCGTCGAAAAACTCCGGGCAGGGGCGAAAACAGCTGTCGCCTTCTCCCCCCACCTGTTGCAAAATTCTCCCTCGTGTTGCGGCTGGTACCCCCGAACAGCTTCCGATTTGTACGGCTACACTTTGACGACGAGTGCCTTCGCGCGCTTAATCAAGCGCCGCTGGAACTCCGCCGCCGGCACGGATACTATCAGCGACCCCACTGACTCCGTTAACACTCAGTCTCGGAACTGCTCGTTGCACCCGTAAACTTCGGAAATTAACACACCACGTAAAATCTTGGTCGCCTGCAGGTTGTCCCCTTGAAGAAACTGGTGTATCTAGCGTGCCCACCCGTCGCCATTTTTCTCTCCATGGTTAACCACACTAGCAACCCACCAACATGGAGGTGCTTTTACGTCCAGAGTCATGGGTCTACCGGGACCGAATTTCACGGAACCTAGCCCGCATCAACGCCGCAGATCTCGCCGTAGGATTTCCCCAGATGGCTTCGAAGTACACCGTAAATCGTTTAAACAGCTGGCGAGCAGACGTTCACCCGTCTCCCACCGTCGAAATTGCACCCGAAAATCATGGTTGTTGAAGCAGTCCCGAAGTATTTTCCGCCGCGTAACCCCGACGTTTCCGCCGTTAACCCTGGTACTCCGACGTTCACCCGTCTTCGCACCCGTCAAGATTACTTAGCGAATCCCAGGTATCCTTGGCGATACACCGCTCGCCGCGCCTCCATGTAACAATATCAAACCCTTTCGGGGGTCTACCGAATAGACTCCGAAATTCGCGGTGGATTGGTGTACGAGCTCCACCTTTCACTCTGGAGATCTGCTGGAGCACCCACAAATTTCCCTCCATTATTTTTTGTCTTCACCCCCCGACAATTTCGCTTGCCGCCGTTCACCCAGCGTATGCTTTTGTCGGATGAGGTATAACTCCGTGTTGCCCGCGATTTTTTCTGACATCGGTGAAGGCGCGAATGCTATCGTAACCGGATCAGGTTTATCGGATCAAACTGTTGGGCCGGCCGCTTCGTTTGCCCACCGCGTCTATCGCTTTTAAAATTCCACAGCTTCGGAGACCCCGTCTTCGCCGCTACACCGCCGCTGCTGCCGATGGTCCGGTTTTGTCGGTGCTGAACAGTGTCGCAATCTTGAAATTTTTTCTGTACGCCCTGCTGTCGAACTGGCGCAATACCCGCGCTTTTTAGCCAGCACAGGGCTAAACACAGGGCCCCACCTTTGGATCCAGTGGCTCTTTGGACTTACTACTTGCCTTCGAGACCTTCTGGGCGTGGGGTATGCGAAACGTCGGTGGACTTTGGCCGGTAGGGAGCTCCTTCTGCTACCGCCGCTTAGCCGCAAAACTCGGCCTCAGCAAAAAGTCGTCGCAGTAGGTCGTTTTCTCCCCTCCTGAAGCTCGGAATCCGTTTCTCTCGCCAGACCCGTATTTGTCGCAACTCCGTATATTGTAGCCGGTAGACTAGGCGAAATTCGCGTGTCTAGACGCTGCGATAAACCGTTGTCCTCGTCGGTGTACTGCCCCGTCTGCGACACAACTTCCCTTGATCAGGGGGAAACTGTGCCGCCTGAAGTACAGTGTCGGCTGCTGCTGTTGCTTTGAAATTTTCGGCCGACGTTGTTGCAGGCGCAGAATTGACCCTAACGCGAACAGTCTAGTCGTAGGCGGCCTTTTCTGCACTTTTCGGTGGTTTGAAAATGACTTCCGTCCCACACTGTGCCGCTCCTGCCGAAAACGCCAGCGACGCACCCTCCTGTAGCCACACCGGCCACACCCGGGCTGAACGACGGTAGACCCCCGCTTTCTTCGGGTAGTCGTCACGCCGTCACTCCGCGCCATCGCATTTTCTGACGCAAATCACCATGCGCCTGGCCTGCCCGGCCAGCTGTCTTTTCTGCCGTGAAGCCACCCGAAATCTTCGCGCACAGTGACGACGATCACCACGTGCCGAAGGCTCCGAATTTCTCGTGCGCAACGTGACGAAATCGTCCGACGCCACGTGCCGCACGCATTTACTCCGAAATTGTCGCGCGCAGTTGTCGGCCACGTGCTGACACAGCTCGCACGCCGATTGTCTCCGTCGATCTCGGACGTGCAGTGACGACGGTCCCTTCGACGTCAGCTGCCACACAGCGTTAACTCTGATAGTGACGAAAATGCCATGCAACTAACTTACGCATTAAATGCTGTCTACCACTTGGGGGGAGGGAGGCCACAATCGATCTTGACCGTCGAGGGCAAGGATCCGTCGGTGCAGCAGGAGTGCCAGTGAATTTCATGGCCGCTAGGAGCAACTACCCGTTCTCCTGGCCGGCTACTGCGCTACTCCTGTCACCACGGCATCCTTCCCTGTCCCCCCCCCCCCCCCCGAGGGGTAATACACTCTAAAAAACGGGGAACCTAGGAACTTAGGCTCTGATACCAAGTGTTATGAGTTGTACTAAGGAGAGTGCACGGAAGACTTTATAAAAGGATGTTGAATACAGAATGTCGAGAATGATAATGAAGCGAGCATTTATAGGGTCGAAACCGTGCTAGGCGAGGACCTCGATGTGCGTGGCTCGGGAATGTCGCAATTGGTGCGGGGCGACTCGGGGCTGGTTTGGTGCGAAGGTGTAGGCCGAGCCCAAACTGACGCGAACAGTTCGGGCTGTCCTCGCTAGGAACAGTCTCTACAGTAATGAATTCTAATTCATTACAACTCGCAAAGTACTCGCGTTTGGTTTGGAGCAGGTGCGACTGGCTGCAAACCAAACAGTTTGGTAGGTGCAGGTGCCGGACTACCAAGCCGGGTTTGCGAGAAACAGGCAACTGCGTGTGCGACGGACTGAGTATGCGACACACAGCCCAGAACCGAGCGTAATACAGAGCTGGAAAAATATGAGACTGCAAACCTAGACAGGTTGTAGGCGGAGGAACATACCTGCACCGATTTCTATAGCGACTCTCATTTCAGCATCTTATTTTCCCTAGATAAATTCCAGCGTCAAACATCACATAGGCACATAGTCCTATCCTCACGGCCTCTCGTCGCTATGGCGAGAGGCCGCGCCTGTACGCGGATGCTGAAACCATGCGCATAGCTGGGTTCCAAAGCATGCGCCCCGCTTCCCCTGCTCGCTTGTTGAAGCGAGATGCCGAAACGTACGCGCCCGCGCGTCGTCGTCCTCGCGTCGTTCATGGTTCCGCTCGTTTCCCACGCTTAGGTACGTCGCCCACGCTTCCTCACGTCGCCCACGCTTCCTCACGTCGCCCACGCTTCCTCACGTCGCCCACGCTTCCTCACGTCGCCCACGCTTCCTCACGTCGCCCACGCTTCCTCACGTCGCCCACGCTTCCTCACGTCGCCCACGCTTCCTCACGTCGCCCACGCTTCACCTCGACTCTCCCTTCCATTCGCCGCCCTCCCTTCCGCCCGTCGCCCTCCCTTCCGCTCGTCGCCCTCCCTTCGGCCCGTCGCCCTCCTATCCACCCGTCGCACTCCTTTCCGCCCGCCGCCCTTCCATCCCCTCGTCGCCCTCCCTTCCGCCCGCCGCCCTTCCTTCCCCTCGTCGCGCTCCCTTCCGCCCGCCGCCCTTCCTTCCCCTCGTCGCGCTCCCGAACGGCCGCCGCCCTTCCTTCCCGTCGTCGCGCTCCCTTGCCCCCCTTCGTCTCGTCGCCCTCCTTCCCGCTCATCCCCTCGCAATCTCCCTCTCTCTCGCCCTCCCATCCACTCCACGTTGCCCTCTCCATCCCTCCCTTCCCTACTTCCCCAATCCCCTTCCCTTGCTTCCCTCCGTCCCCTTCCCTGCTTCCCCCAATCCCCTTCTCTATTTCCCCCAACCCATCCCCTTCCCTGCTTCCCCCCATCCGGTTCCCTGCTTTCCCCCATCCCCTTCCCTGCTATAGCCCAGTCCCCTTCCCTGCTTCCCCCCATCCCCTTCCCTGCTTCCCCCCATCCCCTTCCCTGCTTCCCCCAATTTCCTTCCCTTGCTTCCCCCCATCCCGTTCCCTGCTTCCCTTCATCCCGTTCCCTGCTTCCCCCCTTCCCTGCTTCCCCCCATCCGGTTCCCTGCTTCCCCCCATCCCCTTCCCTGCTTCCCCCAATCCCCTTCTCTGCTTCCCCCCATCCCCTTCTCTGCTTCCCCCCATCCCGTTCCCCTGTTTCCCCCTATCCCGTTCCCTGCTTCCCCCCATTCCCTACCCTGTTTCCCCGTATCCCCTTCCCTGCTTCCCCCCATCCCCTTCTCTGCTTCCCCCCATCCCGTTCCCTGCTTCCCCCCATCCCGTTCCCTGCTTCCCTCCATTCCCTACCTTGTTTCCCCGTATCCCCTTCCCTGCTTCCCCCCATCCCCTTCTCTGCTTCCCCCCATCCCGTTCCTCTGCTTCCCCCCATCCCCTTCTCTGCTTCCCCCCATCCCGTTCCCCTGCTTCCCCCCATCCCCTTCTCTGCTTCCCCTGGGCGGGTGCACATCATCGCGTACATCAGCGACCCAACGAGCTCGGCGTAGGGCCGGGAGGAGGTGGAGGGGGAGGTGGGTGGCGCAAGTTGGTGACCGAAGGGGAGGGGGGTGGAGACTGGTTTGGCCTGCGCCATCTCGAACTTCTCCAGGACCTGGCCGATGTAGTGGGACTGGGAGAGAGTGATGGTGCGGGCGGATCGATCACGGGTGATAGCCATGCCGAGATAGTTCTGCAGTGGGCCGAGGTCCTTGCACTTGAGACGTTCCTGGAGGGACCGCTTCATCTGGTCCATGTCGGCCCTGGAATCCGCCAGCAGGATCATGTCGTCAACGTAGACCGAGATGAAAAAGCGACTGGGGGAAGAGCGGATGAAGAGGCTGGCATCGGAGTGGGAGGCAGAGAAGCCAAGGGACTGGAGAGTGGCAAACAGCTTCGCATGCCATTCTCGTGGTGCCTGCTTCAGACCGTTATCCGGTCGTCGAAGCTGCCAGTCAGTGTTGTCGGGGAAAGCAGCATGGAATCCGGGAGGCAGGTCGGCGGAGGAAGATGCGCTCGTGCAGTTCGCCTTGCAGGAACGCGTTGGAGACGTCCATGGAGTCAATCTCCATGTTGTCTCGTGCACCGATGTCAAGAAGGGTGCGTAGGGTGGCCTGCTTGACGGTGGGGGCGAACGTGAACCAGTAGTCCTCAGCCCAGGTCTGGGTGAACCCCTTGGCAACGTAGCGGGCTTTGTAGACTGGGTCTTCTCCTGGCAGCTGCTTAACTCGAAAGATCCACTTGCCTTCAACAAGGTTGGCGTCAGGAGGGAGGGGAACGTCAACGAAGGAATCGTTGCGGATGAATGCTTCACATTCCTGGAAGATGGCGGCTATCCACTTATCGGCGTCAGGGCAGGTGATAGCCTCTTGGAAGGTGGAGGGGACGAAGATGGTGGGAGCGGAGATCGCGCTAAGGAGTAGAGCGCCGAGGAGGTCAGGGGAAAGCACGGTGAGAGAGGGAGTATGTCGCCGAACCATGGTGAACTCCTCATGGGAGTCCTCCAGTTGGTTGAGGGAGGGAGGAGATGGTACGCCAAGGATGGGGTCAAGGGAGCGGGTGTGCATGCGAGGGAGGAGGAAGGGTGAGGAGCGGGCAGTCGCCCTATGCCGCTGCGGCTGCTGCTGCTGCTGCTGCCCCTGCTGCTGCTGCTGCTGCTGCTCCTGCTGCTGCTGCTGCCGCTGCTGTTGCTGCTGCTGCTGCGGCTGCTGCTGCTGCTGCTGCTGCTGCTGCTGCCCCTGCTGCTGCTGCGGCTGCTGCTGATGTTGCGGCTGCTGCTGCTGCCCCTGCTGCTGCTGCTGCTGCTGCTGCGGCTGTTGCTGCTGCTGCTGCTGCTGTGGCTGCTGCTGCTGCTGCTGCTGCGGTTGCTGCTGCTGCTGCTGCTGCTGCTGCTGCTGCTGGGACGAATGAGAAGGAGAGTGGGAAGGGGAGGAGGGAGGGGGAGCGGCGGAGTGTGCAGGGGATGCAGGAGTAGTGGGATCATAGATGTCGGCAGATGAGGGTGGCGGAAGCGGGGTGGGGAGGGGTGGGAGAAGGGGGGCCGGAGGGAGGAGGGGAGGGAGGACGGTGTCGGCCCAAGCAAGGGGTCGTGTGGGAGGAGGGAGGGGATCTGGTGGTGGAGAGGAGTAATATGGGGTGGTCTCATCAAACACAACGTCAATGCTGCGGATGAGGCGACCAGAGGGAGGGTGAAGGAAGAGGTAACCAGGCGAGTCGCGGTTGTGTCCGAGGTAGACACACTCGAGGGCGCGAGGAGCGAGCTTGCTTTGAGTGCGTTCAGGTGGAGGGATGAGCACATATGCCTTGCAACCCCAGACACGGAGACCGGCAGCGTCAGGTTTGGTCCCTGACCAGAGCTCCGTGGGGGTAGTGGCAGTGTGTTGGGGATGGGAGTGAAGGTTGAGGAGGAGGGCAGCGTGGAGGAGGGCATAGCCCCAAAGAGAAGGAGGGGTGGAGGCGTGAGCGAGGAGACAGCGGGCGATCTTGGTAATTTCGCGAATGCGGCTTTCTGTGACGCCGTTCTGCTGTGGGGAGTGGGGAAGAGTGTGGGTCTGTTGGATGCCATGGGTGGTGCAGTAGTGAGAGAGAGTGTGATTGAAGAATTCGCCTCCCCCATCAGAGTGGAGGCGGCCGATGGGACGTTTGAAGTGGGTGCGGCATTGCTCTGCCTAGTTAATGATAATGGTTGGGGCCTGGTCTTTGGTGTGGAGGAGGAAAATGGAGGAGTAGCGGCTGTGATCGTCAACAAGAACCAACATGTAGCGATGGCCTTGGCGTGAGCGGGTGGGAGAGGGCCCCCAGAGGTCCATATGGACAAGGTCAATGGGTGCAGGAGCAAAGGATGGGTGGCTGTGGTGAGGAGATTGTTTGAGTTTGCCGTGGATGCAGGAGGGGCATGGGGGGGCTGGGGAGGAGGGAAGGGGAGGGAGAGTTGGAGGGAGGCTGTGAAGAAGTCGTGAGGTGACGGCAGTGCGGAGAGCGGCAAAATTCGGATGGCCGAGTCGGTGATGTAGGAGAACAGCGGGGTGGGAGAGATGGTCGGAGGTGGAGGGGATTGGGACGAGTGAGGACGGGATGGAGGAGTGGGGAGGAGGTGGAATGGGAGGAGAGGGAGGGAGATGGGGAGGGCTGGTGGAGGTACCCGCACGAGTGGTAACATGGCAGGAGGATGGCCACGGAGTGCGGAGAGTGTAGAGGCGAGTGCGAGGGCAGAGGGGTATGCGGAGGAGGAAGCGGCCGGAGGCAGTGTGGTAAAGGTCACAGTAGGTGGCATTACCAGGATAGACGGCAGTGATACCTGCACCTTGGATTTCACGGTGGGAGAGGAGGTTGTTTCGGAGAGTGGGGATGTGGAGACCAGTTACCTTGCCAGAGGGGAAGAGTGAGCAGGGGAGAGTGGAGAGGTGTGTGCATGGGATCGTGAAGCTGCTATCGGCACCGTGAACCTGAGTGGGAGGAGAGAGGGGTGTGAGTGTACCAGCGTCTTTGAGGGCGGTCTCAGTGGCCCCACTGTCAAGGACAAAGTCCAAGGTGGGTGAGGAGGAGGAGGAAGACACTGAGTACTGGAAAGTGGTTTCATTAATGTTGGATGGGTACATGGAAGGAAGAGAGGGCGAAATAGCTATGTTGCCAAGGAAGCTCTCGTGAGTGAGAGGGGTGGCAGTGCTACTGGGGGGGGGTGGGGCACCCCAAAGGGGGGCAGGTGAGGCTTGAGCGGCCATGGCTGCTGTGCCAAAGTTTAGCTGCTGCTGCTGCCAGGGAGGAGGGTTGGGTCCCCACTGGGGCTGGGGTCCTGACCCCATGGGTGCTGCGGCGGCTGCGGGTGCTGCTGCTGCTGCGGTTGTGGCTGAAACAGCTGCTGTAACTGCTGCTGCTGCTGCTGCTGCTGCTGCTGCTGCTGCTGCTGATGTTGCTGCTGCTGTTGCTGCTGCAGGAGGTGCTGCTGTTGGAGGTTGAGGAAAGGTGTGGGGGGAGCAAGGAGGCGGAGGTGGGCTGGGAGGTAGGCTGGATTGGTTTGGATATCGACGGGGGAGGGGCGTGGGGAGATGTTGCCCCACTTTGGAGGAGTGCCAACGTTACCCCGCGCGTACCAGGCATCGTCGAGAGCCTTGAAGCACGTGCCAGGGGGATGGTTGGTCTGTCCGCAGGGAGTTCCAGCCCGGGGACCATAGCGGCGGACATAGGTGCAGGGAGGAAGCGTGCCAGGGCGACTCCCGCGACTTGCAGTGGGTCCACCCGAAGTGGTGGTGCCAGGTTCATCCCCAGTGGTGCCACTACGGCTGCTGCTGCTTCCTTGACCACCACCCCCCTTGCCCCCACCTCCTCCCTTGCCGTTGTTCTTACCCTGCTTGCGAGGCTGGGTAGTGTTGAGGGAGGAGGAGGTGGTGAGGTTAAAGAGGAGGCGGTGGATTTGAAGAGGTTCGGAGAGGCCGGCCTGGCGGGCTTCGAGGCGATCAGCTACCTCGCGCATGCGGCCGACATAGTCGACTGCTCCGTCACAGGTGGCGAGGGTGATGGAAAAATACTCTTGGAAGAGGATGCCGACGGAGCTGATGTCGCGGCGCTCAAACATGGCATGGAGTTCTGCCCAGATGACCGAGGCACGGAGTTCCCGAGCCTGGAAGCGACGCATGAGGGAGTCAGGGAGAGCTCCAAGGAGAACGGTGCAAGCGTGGGTGTCAGCAGCTGTCCAGGCGATGAGTCTGGGGGTGAAGTCAGCCATGTCGTCTTTGTATTTGGCGACGACGGCGAGGTGAGCGTCGCGACCAGCAACCGCCTGATCATAGGCCTCAACTGCAGCATCGTACTCGGCTTTGCGGATGAGGTATTCGCGGCGGCGTAAGATGAAATCAGTATCAGCGGTGGCTTGGTCGGCGGTGCTCTGAAGGTCGGGTTCAGGTCGCCAGGAGTGGGAGGAAGAGGAGGAGTATCGCCGGGGTGGGGAGGTTCGGTGGGGGGGAGGGCATGGGGGCGGCGGAGGATGACGTCAAGGACACGGTAGGGGGGAACCCATGCGTCGGAGAGGTCGCGTCGGATGCTGCCGACGAAGGAGTGCCAGTTGACGGCGGACTTGTCCGCGGCGAGTTGTCGCTTATCAATGGAGGAGGTATCAATGGGGGGAGGGAGTGGGGAGGGGGAGGGTGTGGTGGTAGCCATGATATACGGCTGCAGGTGGACCTGCAGTGGTCACGGAGGAGTGTGAGGAACAACGGCAGCGAGGCCGCGGGAGTGGCGCGGTGAGGCGGCGGCTGGTGAGGCCGCGGCGCTGGCGCGGAGGCGGCGTGAAGGCCGCGGAGAGGCGCGGGCGGCGGCGGCTGGCGAGGCCGCGGCGGTGCTGGCGCGGAGGCGGCGTCGATGCCGCTGGAGGAAGCACGGGCGGCGGCGGCTGGCTAGGCCGCGGCGGCTGGCGTGGAAGCGGCGTCGAGGCCACGGAGAGGCGCGGGCGGCAGCGGCTGGCGAGGCCGCGGCAGCGTCGGCGCGGAGGCGGCGTCGAAGCCGCGGAGAGGGGGAAAGCGCGGGGAGCGGCGGCGGCTGGCGAAGCCGCGGCGGCGTCGGCGTGGAGGCGGCGTCGGAGCCGTGGAGGAGAGTGGCGCGAGCCGCGGTAGTTTGGGAAGCCGCGGTGCTGCGAAGGAAAAGAAAGGGCTAAGGGAGGAGGAAGGGGCGGCGAGAGAGCCGCGAGAAAGAAAGTTAAGAGAGGAGGCCGGGGGTTGCAACGGCCTTTGATACAAGGAGAATAGGCCTAGGATTGTATAGCTCTATACCATGTGAGAAACCAAGTTGGAAGTGAAGTTGATGACTTGATTGAGAAGGATGGGGGTTTACATAGGGAATTGGTTGGATGCTAGCCTAGGTGAACATTATTGGACCCCAACCAAGGAGTTGGGTTGGGAGATTATTGGTGGGGTCCAATAATGTTGGCCAAGTTGGAGTTGGGCCAACATTATTGGAGGGGACCAATAATTCTACCCATCCCAACCTGCTGCATGCCTCACCTGCTGCATGCCTCACCTGCTGCAATCCTCACCTGCTGCATGCCTCACCTGCTGCATGCCTCACCTGCTGCATGCCTCACCTGCTGCATGCCTCACCTGCTGCATGCCTCACCTGCTGCATGCCTCCACGCGAATGTAAGTGAACTGATTTTGCCTTTTCGCCGTGCTGCATTCTTGCCTTTACTTCACCTCCATTCACCTCACACCTTCAACTCCCGTCCCTGTCAGAATCCCAGCCACTAACCACTGGGATAAAAGGGCTTGTTTGTATGGCGGGTAAGTGCGCCCATAACCCCCCAGGCCGATGTGCCTGTAACCCTTCCCTAGGATCATCGGGGATCTCCAGTGGACCTCTGACACCCCCCCGCACTGGGATGCCCGAGGTGCACACACCGGGATTCGAACCCGAGACCTTCGCTCTGATACCATGTCAGAATCCCAGCCACTAACCACTGGGATAAAAGGGCTTGTTTGTATGGCGGGTAAGTGCGCCCATAACCCCCCAGGCCGATGTGCCTGTAACCCTTCCCTAGGATCATCGGGGATCTCCAGTGGACCTCTGACAGTCCCTTCTTCCCCCCTCCCTTTTCCTCCCCTGCTTGCCCTTCTCCCCTCCAATCTCTCCGTCCTTTCTCCTCCCTCGCCTTCGCCTTCGCCTCCGCCCTCCTGCTCCGTCCCCTGCTCCCGCTTTCTCCCACCTGTCTCGTTTCCGCCAAACCCAGGCCACGCGCGCCCGCATCATCACTTTCGCTTACCATCTGTGCTTCTTCCTTCCCCACTCCGCCTCCCCTCCCCCTCTACGCGGCCGCCCGTCGCTACTGTCCCCATCTGCGCTCCCCTTCCTAGTGGCGCGCAAACCTATTCGGCGGAATCTAGCGCAGGCGGCGGTACAGGCGCGTGCCGCGGGGATTGCGGCGATAGAGGTGATGGCGGCGGCGGCGGCGGCTAGGAAACGATCAGGCCGGCGCGACCGGCGCGGGGTTCCACCGCCTCTTCGCGCCGTTGCCGCCCGTCCGGCTGCTAGCAACGACACTGCTGTCTCCGCCGCTTCCGTAGCTGGGAGCTCCCCCTGCGTGCGCATGATTGCCCTACCCCTGCGGGCCGCCCTTGCCGCTTCTCCTCACGCCATGGCTGTAGCTGCTCTCCGCCATCGCAACGCGGTTGCTTGTTGCTTTATCGTCGCCTATGGCGTTTTCCCGCTGTCGACGGTCGCTCTCTCGTCGCAGTCCATCGCTCTTGTCGCAGGCCGTCGTTCTCTCTCGCGGTTCGTCGCTCTCTCATCGCCGTACTTCGCGTTGTGTCGTTGCCTTTCTGTCGCTCTGACGCTGTAGCGTTTGCGCCACTACCTGTCGCCGTACGAGCTCCAAACGTCCGTCGACTGCCAATGTAGTATCGCTAAAGGAATTATGATGTCTCTCAACGAATGTCAGGCTTGCCCCTCCTGTTTTCCCACCCGCCATTGCTGCTGCTCCTCGCGTCTCTAGGTCACGGCTCCTCGCCATCGCGATTCGACTCCTCTCCCTCTCGACGCCCTGCCTGCCGCTTCGACGATGAGTTACTATCCATCGCTCTCTTGTCACAGTTCCTGGCTCTCACTTCCTCTGCTCTGCAACGATAACTCATATGGGTGCGGGGAGTTTACATACTAACAAGATTCGACGTTAACGTCGAAAGGGTTGCGTAGGTGCTACATTCATATTTTACAAAGCATGAGAACAAGCAAGTTATTATTTTGTTGTTTAGCACCACGTTAATTTTAATGTATTAATGAATATGTCAAGCCAGGTAGTTCTTGATTATGGAAAAAATGACTGTTTATAACTTCATTTCTAAACTTTGGGTGAACTTATGTAATACCAATTATTGTGTTTGTAAGTAGTATTATATTTAGTAACACCGAACTATTAGATTCTTGCCCCAGCAAGAGTGTGTTTCCAGCTCACACAATAATCCACGTGATAATGCGTGTGTTCTCACGTGGCACCAGCGTTTTGTTTTTTAATTCCAAGTGCCCAGGTTCTATGCTGACTTTCAGATTGCCCCGTCATTTTCGGATTTCTATATATGAAGTGTTTCATGCGTCGTCCTTTTTTGGGAGGTGCGCAAATTGTGTCCAGCGTTTTCTTTTTGCCCCATCGTCTTTTTCGTGTTGTGTTTCATGCCTCGTCCCTTTCTCCAGATTGGTTACTGTAGTTTCTTGTTTACCTTACCTACCCTCCCTCCCTCCCGTCATCTCTTCTCCTCCCCCACCCACCATCTGTTGCCTCACCCTCCCACCCACCTCGTCATCGCCTCTTCCTCCCACCTTCCCATCGCTGCTCCCTTCCACCTCCCACTTTCCTTAACACCTCGCCATCCCCTCTCCCTCCTACCCGCTGTCGCTGCTCCCTCCCTCCCACCGTCGCCTCTCCCTCCTCCCCGCCGTCGCCTCTCCCTCCTCCCCGCCGTCGCCTCTCCCTCCTCCCCGCCGTCGCCTCTCCCTCCTCCCCGCCGTCGCCTCTCCCTCCTCCCCGCCGTCGCCTCTCCCTCCTCCCCGCCGTCGCCTCTCCCTCCTCCCCGCCGTCGCCTCTCCCTCCTCCCTGCCATCGCCTCTCCCTCCTCCCCGCCGTCGCCTCTCCCTCCTCCCCGCCGTCGCCTCTCCCTCCTCCCCGCCGTCGCCTCTCCCTCCTCCCCGCCGTCGCCTCTCCCTCCTCCCCGCCGTCGCCTCTCCCTCCTCCCCGCCGTCGCCTCTCCCTCCTCCCCGCCGTCGCCTCTCCCTCCTCCCCGCCGTCGCCTCTCCCTCCTCCCTGCCATCGCCTCTCCCTCCTCCCCGCCGTCGCCTCTCCCTCCTCCCCGCCGTCGCCTCTCCCTCCTCCCCGCCGTCGCCTCTCCCTCATCCCCGCAGTCGCCTCTCCCTCCTCCCCGCCATCGCCTCTCTTTCCTCCCCGCCGTCGCCTCTCCCTCCTCCCCGCCGTCGCCCCTCCCTCCTCCCTGTTAGAAACTACAGGCAGGAATGAATGAACTAGCAGCATGATGGGTACAAGTAGGAAACCCTAATTTGGGTTGTACCCCATATGGGCTACCCCACTACAGCCTACACAATAAGCAGCATATATGTTTGACACACCCCCATAGGTAAAGTGGGGGAGAACAAGGAGTCACACGACCAGTCAAGAGAACAAGGCCGCTCACCCAAGTCAGTCAGCAGGTAGGTGAGCCAGCGTAGCTCCTGTGCAGCCATGGCGGTGGCGTAGATCTCAGCCTCACAACTGGAGCTGAGAACAGAAGACGAGCGTGTAGACCGCCAAGAAATAGAGCCAGAGCCAAGGCTGAAGGTGTAACCCTGTGACGACCGCTGTGTAGTCTGGTCGTCAACCCAAGACGCGTCTGAGTGCCCAAAGAGGACCACCTCACTCTGTCCTCCAAGCACGAGCCCCATGCCTGATGTACTGCACAGGTAGCGCAACAGCATTCATGTGCACCTTTCGGTGCCGACCAGGAGCCACGTAGCGAGCCAGAAGGCCAAGAGGGTACGCAAGGTCAGGTCGAGTGCAGGTCATCAGGTACATGAGGCAGCCCACTAGCTCAGCGTAAGGACCAC